TTAGTTAAATTAGTTAATTGTAAAGAATGAGTCCTGATTTCCCTACAATTTAGGGTTGCATTTGAATTATTACAACATTTTATTATTGTTGAGAGAATGTCAATAGGTACATATAGCTTAGAAAAAATAATGAACATGAGAGACAATAAATTGAGATGCTGTAAGAGGATTATCCTTAATTAAACTTGACAATACTTGAATCTAAACTTGATAATACATGTTCTGTTTTTCCTTTATTTTCAATTCCTAACTCTAATTCAAGATTTTTTTCTTTTGTCTAAAAATATTTATTTTTTTCTTTTCCATGATGTTTTTCTTTTCACTAACATTTTAATTTGCATTAAAATTAAAAAAAAGGAATTTAATTGGTATGATCCATGAATTTTTTGTATATGCATTATAAAATATTTAGAAAAGAAAAAAGATTCTTGATTCGTTATAGAACAATTTAGTATTTCTACGTTCATTTCCATTCAATGAAAAAAGTTTTTTTTTATTATTATTGGATGGATTGATTTCTTGATGAAGCGTAAAATAATAATCAGTATCGATCGAATCCTAAAATACACTTTCTTTCTAAGATAAAAATTCAAAATTTTTCAATCAAAATACTGTCTATCCAATTTTTTTTTCATGTCTAGAATAAAATCTTTTACTATATAATTCTTAATAGGAATATCATCTGTCATATCCTTTTTTTTTTACACGTGTTAGAATTATAAGTAATTGCTTGGTAGATAGTCATATAAAATAAAGTAAATTGAAGTCTCATGTTTAGAATTCAATGATAAAAGCACATAATTAAAAATATATGGGTTATATACAACTGTCCTCCAAATAAAGAAGATTGCGCCAGGTTTTTCATAAGACCAGCAAATATGGATGAAGATTATCTCTATTTCTATTTAATAAAACTTCAAGCTCACCATCTAAACTTTTATTAAAAAAAAAAAAACTTTTATAAACCCCAAAAAAAAAAAAAAAAGAAAAAAGTCAAGCTCACCAGTCATCTCATACGCAAAAGTGAAGTCCATAGGGTTGTTACCGTGACGATATCTTTTATTTTAACTCGATAAAGGCACAATTCAGCCATTAGGTGGCATCATATTTTTTAAAATTTTGATTACAAATGATTAGCTTAAATTAGTCATAGAATAATGTAGAATAGTTCTATAGCGATTCGTTTGTAAAATTTTGAATCATGTTTTTTTTAAAAAAAAATCAAAAGTATATTTTTGCCTCTTGAATTCTGTGGTAGTTTGACTTGGATATTTTAACGTCATTATATTAAATATAATTTTTTTTATTTGATTATTAACACCGTTTAAAAAAACTTCCATACGCGGCCGGCTTGGGGTGAAGTAATAAGGTTAGATTACAACTTATTATATGTCAGAAGTGACGAATATCCAGATTCCAGAGTGTTTAATATTGGTTCTTTAATTTAAATGGTTTCATCTATGTTTCTGACTTTCTTCCTTTCACGTTTACTATTGAGCTTTGTGTCTGTCACCACGATCGTTTGTATCCAGTATATTTGTGCTGCCGATAAAAGGCGTTGTGATTTTACAGGGGAATAGATTTATTGCATTTTTTGTTTTATTAATAAAGACAAGAGATCATTGGCGAAGATAAATGTGTATAATGAGTTTTTTTTTGGTAATTTATAATGAGTTTGATGATGATGATGGTGACGGTGATGATGATGTCAAGATGCACAAGAAATGCACCATTTTATAGCCTCTAAAATCTAGGTAAAAATCAGCGTTGGGTTTTTCCCTGACTTTGACCATGATGACATTTTTTTTTCTTTTTAACACTTTTTTAATATTTAGGTTCTAATTAAAATATATTTTTAGCCAGTTTGAAGTCTTGAATCCTTCTTCAAAATCAGCTTGCTATATTTCTAAGCTTAATTTTGGTTGGTCTTCTTACAATATTTTCAGCAGCTCCATTTCTTTTTAGAAGCACTGACAATCGAGTTTTGAAAATTATCAGTTTTTATATATATATATATATATATATATATAAGGACTAATCTTGTGCAGAAAAGTCTTGGATGTGTTTCAAATACAAGAGACATTTTGAATCTCATGTTTAATTTAAGGTTTAAATGAAGTAAATAACTTTGGTTGCGTGATTTGTTTTTTTTCCCATGATTTATCAAATTTGTATGTCTTAATCAGGTTGATTATCCATTTTCACCTTTTCAGTTGACAATTTAGTTATTCATCATGGATTTGTTTTAACTAATTTTAACTCATCTGCTTGCTTTTAGTTGAAAAAAATCACGTTTACAAATTTGTCCCAAGCAGGGCTATGTTTGTGAATAACGTTGTACGCATGATGGTGTTTTCCAGCACCTCCATCCCCAGAGAAAAAATGAGAACGGGGAACAACCCACGTGGCGCAATATGACCCCGGACAACCATTCACACTTGTAGTTTTGCGGTATTTAGCGAGAAATTCAATATATCGTCTCACGTCTCATTGGTTTTCTCATGTAATTATTTCAAAAAGATCAGGGCATTTTAATAACAAGAAGCGCCAAAATCTCCACCTCATTAAGACAAGGGCACGCACTTGCAAAAACAAAAACACTAATCACCTTTTGGATTTCCTTTCTCTTTCTTTCTCCTTTTTTCATCTTCTCCAACAATTTGATTTTCTGATTTGCTCTCATTCCACCGTCTTCTTCATTTTCTTTACGGTGTTTCTTAATCCAATGGATTGGAGCGAGACCGAGTTCCATTTCCAGGTAATTAACTGTTTTTTAATATATCATATTATTGGCTCTGGATTTGAATACATGATTTGTTGCATTTGTTTTTTATTTTTTTTGCTAGAGAAAATAATACATTTTAATGTTTCATTTGATTGAATAAAAACAATCAATGTTGTGAAATTTTATGAATTCTTGAAGTAATTAATTTTCGACAACTTTATACCGTCATTAATTAATTTTAATTTGTGCACTTGGGGTTTTTGTTCGCCAGCAACTTGTTTTCCTGGGCGATTCATGTTATATGTCAGCCTGGGTGCGTGTGAACGTAATTTCTGCTCGTTGTCATATCATTTAAAATTTTTGCGTACCTGATCTGCAATATGCTCTTTCAATAAATTGCTCCTTTTTCTCTGTTTGGAACCTTTTTTGTGGATGTTGAATTAGAAGTGACAATTACCAGATTCGTCTGCGGCATTAGATGTGTCAAGAAATTTTCCTTTTCAGAACAGATAAATAATAACCTCAAGCCCATGGTATCAGTGCACACCATCGCTTCTATTTAAGAGAACCCCACTGTAAAATTTCATAAGGAAATTGTACACAAAAACAGAAAAAATGAAATATACTAATCAATATATGATACACGCTATTAATATTGTCGTGTTCAAAGAAAAATTTGCCCTGCGATTAAAATAAGCTGCTAGCCTTTCCAACTGAAGAAATTGAAACGCCCCTTTCTTGCAGGTTTTTTTTTTATTATTATTATTCGTAATTTCTCATATAAGCTCGGCGGGGTGTGAAATTCAGAACTCGGATCATTGTGATTTGAAAGTGGGATAGATAGGTTGTTGAACTAATCCGGAAAAGAGAAGATAAGATGTCGGGGTTTGTTACACATAATTATATAATATAAAATGAAATGAATGAGAGGGAAAATTGGAGTTAATATTGACGAATGGTCCAAATTGGCCGGACTAAGATTGAGGTGCAAGTGCCACAAATGTCGTAGTGATTGTGTGAGGGTGTCAACATCGTAACTTTAATGAGGATCCCCACACCCACAGAGAGTCCGGATCATGTTCGTGATTATGACTTGACTCCATCCGACCTGCATCCAAATGTTGTTCACATCCATTGTCTTTTAATGCCTTTGTACTTTGGTACTCAACATGTTCAAATTTTCAAGTTTTCATCCTCCCTCCCTCCCAACTTATGTGAACTATTTGGAGGGGTAATTTTGTGAATTTTTTATAAGGTGTTATATTAATTATTTGTTATAAGTATTTTTAAATAAATGAATAAATTATCATTTGAATTTCAGGTAAAATAATATCATAAACTCTAAACTCATTTATTATTAATATTATTCCCTCAACTTTTAAAAACCATATAAATTGGACAGTATTATTAATAAAAATTAATTTTGATTATTAGTTGATTAAAAAATAAAAAAATTTAAAAATTATAAAAAAAGACAAAAAATTATAATAAAGTATCTAAAATTTACAAACAACGATCCAAAAAAGGACCAAATAAAACGACCAAGGTTTCTAGTTTTTTTCTATAATTTTTATGCCATTTTTCTGTTATTTTATGATATATTAATTATTAAAATTAAATTTTGTTAACACAAGAGTTATATTGCACCGTTTTTAAAAATTAAAAGAATAATTTATATAATAAACAAGCTTAAAGTTTATGTTGTCATTAGACTTAAAGCTCAAAAAATAATTTACTAATTTACCCTTATTTTTACTTTGATTCAATGTTGTTGACATAGGAAAGTAATAAATTTTTCAAGGATATATTTAATATAGGTCCAATTAAAAATATTTAACTTATAATTAAATTTAACAGTTTTAATATTTTCGATGAAAAAGGTTAGGAGTGATGTGTAAATGAAATTAGAGGGAGTGTTGTTTTCAAAATATGCATGACTGTGAGTTATCATTTTTTTTCAAAAGCTCATATAAATTATTCTAAATATAGGATCTCAAATTTTCCCCATATTTATTATTTTTTCTTAAATTACTCCTGTTAATTTGACAAGATTTCATATTCCAAAATAATAGTGATTAAAAAGTGGATTATGTTTTAAAAAATTAACACATTGGTGCATAATAATAACAAATAATCAACTTAACTTAATTTGATTTTTTCCAAATTATAATATGTCATTTATTTTTATTACAAAATTTCTATCAGTTATGCATGCATGCATTCTTCTTCTGGTGCCAGCATTGTTTTTGTAATTTCTATTCCCATTTAATTTCAGAATTTGTGGTGATCACTCTGCCGACAATGGGAGCCTATAATTGTTCATTAGCAACTCCTCATTAGCTTTCTTCCCGAACTTTGATGTGAAGCGAAATATGATCAAGCACCGCTTAAGAGGGTTGAGCACCATTCTGGGTACTCAAGTAGAACCTGACAAAATTGAAGAACTGAAGAGGAACAAAACAGGTAGCTAGGTGCATCTTAGCACTCGAAATATTGGCTTCTCGATGGGATTATCTAACTCTTAATTTTTTCCATGTTAAATTTAATCATTACTTGCAGATATTGAAAACAACCTCTCAAGAATCCTGAAAATCATCAAGAATGAAGATCAAAGTAGCAAGAGGGATAGAAGCCCAAAACGGTCGAGACAAGAAACAGAACTTGTAGGACTCATCGAGGACTTCTTCACACACTACCAGTCACTGTATGCGCTGTACGATCGTCTCACCGCAGAGAATGGCAAAGTAGTTTCTCGCAGAATAGATAGTGGGGTTTCTGCTTCCTTGTCTTGCTCTAGCTCCGACTCCGATTATTTTTCCTCCGACGAAGTTGACAGCCGAAGACAATCGCCTGAAACTGAGCATCACATTACTATATCACACCCAACACGTGAAGGAAAGGACAATGACTCTGAAACTGATCTCCAGACTCGAGCAATATCGGCTCGGGGAAAGGAGCTAGAAGAGAAGTTCCATTCTCAAAAGAAAGAGATAGAAAGCCCGACTCACCAGAAGTCGGAGCTGCAACGTCAAATTGAAAGCAAAGAACGTGAAGCTCAAGAGCTAAGCGCCAGAAATGCAGAGCTACAAGTGTCGGAGAAGAAAACGAAAGAAGATCAAGTTTCTGGTCTGCAGAGGAAATTCGAGGATGGTGAGAGCGAGGATCATATTGCAGAACTGATTGAACAAATCAACACGCTTACCATGGAGGCGACAACTCTTCGTGACCAGAAAGATGAAATGGAAGTAAGGTTAACACTCGGTAGAGATGAAGCACTGAGCCTACTAGAGGACCTGAAGAACCAGCTTAATGTCATGCGTCAAAATTCGGACTCCTTATCTGACAAGAACAAAGAGCTAGAAGCTCACATGGAGTATCTGTATCAACAATTGGATGAGAAGGGCTGGCTTGAACAAAGAATGCGAGAAGAGAAAGAAGGTTTGGTAGGGATGGTAAGGGACCTGGAAACGGAACTTGAATCTCGATTCAAAGAAAAAGACAAGTTGGAAGAGGAGTTAAGAAAGAAAAGTTATGAGATGAAACAGGTGGAAGATGAAAACAAATCCTTGCAGGATAGGAATGCTGAACTGAAAAGAGCAGTGACACATGCAGGAGAAGAGCTCAATGCTCTTGCGAAGGAACATGAAAGCAGCAGAAATGGAGCTTCAACGCATGCCATAGCTTTATCGGATCAATTTAACGATCTGAAACTAGAGTTAAACTATTACAAGGAAGAGAAGATCAGGTTGGAGTTGCAAAACGAGAGAATGCAAAAGGAATATTCAGAAAGCCTCGCAACGATATTTGATCAAGGGAAAACAATAAAAGAGCAGGCAGAAACCATCGAGCGAATCATTGCTGAGTTTGAAGAATCCAAAACGTGGGCCAGAAAGTTTAAGCTGAATAAACAATTCTCAGAAAAGAGGATCGAAGAATTAGCAGAAGAGATACGAGGACAACTAGAAGACAGTATAAGGTTATTATACCGTAGGATCCGCGTGGCGGAACAGCTACATAATGAGAACAAAGACGGCTACAAACTGGTGAAGGAGAGATACGAGCAAGAAAACAAAATACTTAAAGAGAAAATTGCTATATATGAAGAAAAAGAGGCACGAGTTGCAAGTGCTACAAGACTGAATCGAATAGAAGTTTCAAACGTCTTAGAGTCGGCTGCTTCGAATCTGGAGAAGAACCAAGTTAGTTTTCTGAGACGTGTGACTAAGATGATGGAGGAGGTTCAGAATGCAAGAGATTGGATAAAGCAAAGAAAGGAAGAGATGGAACAACTGAAGAGCCATGTGGATAAACTTACAGCTTTACTTAAGGATAGAGAAGAGCAGGAATTGTTGCCGAGAGAGAAGGTGGCGAAATCAGAGGGCAAGGTGAGCGAGGAAGGAGAGGAGAATCTGAGTCTAATGAAATCGGTGACAGAGCTTGAAAAGAAAGTGGGAATATTGGAGAAGAGCCTGAAAGAGCGGGATGAACAATTGGTGAATCTGGGAGAGACGAAAAGGGAAGCAATAAGGCAGCTTTGTTTTGTCAATGATTATCATCGCAACCGTTGTCACTTTCTCAAGGGTTTGATTGCCAAGAAGACGACAATCAACAGAACTTGATTTGCATGCATATGTATGTGATATATCGTGTATGTTAAAAAGTAGAGGGAAAGTTGATCCTAGGGGGAAAAAAAAAACAAAAGTAGAGGGAAAAATATTATTGAAATGACCTTTGACTCCTTTCGTTTCGTTTTGTTAGGCCAACGCCTTTGGGTCCCAGGTTGTCCTCCACGTGCGCTGACCATCTACCATTTTCTCTGCCCGCCTTTTTGTCTGGTAGCTATATATATATATACATACATAATGCTCAATGTAAGTAAGAACCACCCCAACCCCAATAATTCATTTCTGCTACAGAGACACTTTTTTGTATCATGCTATGTACAATTCATTCAACTGCGGAATTAACACTTCATTTTCTTATCACCATAGTTCGTCATGTGATTGATTCTTTCTGTTCTCAACTAATATCCCTGAAATATGAAGCTAATTCTTTTTGTTTTTTCTTTAGTCAATAAAACTTGAGCCTAATTCATTATGGAATTTGAACTGCGTTTTTAGAAGCAAAAGGAAGCAACTTTATGAAATGTTTTCTGCTTTTAATGCAGAGGAGTACACTTGGAATAAATGATACGGGTATCGATTTATTATATAATAGAAACGAGTACTTTAATTGGCAGTCTCATAAAAACAACAAAGTCGCAACAAGGGTGGGTTCACGTCACGTGACATGAAATTACAGCTCACGTAGCACGTTGCAGCTACGTGCGGGAAGATGAGACAGATGGCCCAGATCGGCTCAATATCCTCAAACAAGATCCCGGTGGCATCACACGGTGGTCCTTACTCCTTTCTGGCATCTTGAGCTCAATTATACTGTTTTTTATCTGAATCTGAGAGCAGCATTCCCAGGTTTATTTTTTAATGTTATTTTTCAAAATTCTTTTTACTAATAAATACTAATAAACAGATGTATGCGAAATTCCTTGTAGCTACTTCTTCTTTTTATTTATTGGTATAATTTTTTTAGTATATATAAAAAAAAAAAGATAGATGCGAAACTGTAAAGGCCACTAACGCACAACGCGGAAGGCCTCCAGCAGTCCCCTCACACACTGAACCGAGCTGTCTTTTGCCTACGTCATCACGAGAAATCGCGCGATGGAAAGCACAGAGTGGCGCTATTGTAATAAATTAGGATTCGAGGGGTAAACGTACAAGATGCAATCCAAAGATTCCATCCCTGGAATATGAAGCTACGAAGTTGCTGGCGTTCCTTGAGCGCTCCGATCCAGACAAATCTACTTTTGCATTCAAAATTTTGAGTATAATTTCTTTTTAATTCTATGAACTTGGCTCTCTGTTCCCCTCGCGTTCATTGAAGAGCTCGTCCTATCTTTCTTTCTTGTTTTCGATTTTCGATCCTCTCCAACTTTGATCGTCTGGTTCCAGAAGGACGATATTCCCTTTTTGAACTTCAGGTAACGGTGAATTTTATTTCTGAGAACTGTTATATTTTCTCTGTTGTTTGAATTCTCCGATATGATCTTCTGGCCTTGGAGCTCGTAGTTCAGTTAAGCTATTTCAATCTTGCTCTCCTCCACCCTTGCTTATGGATTCGATTGAATCGAATTCGTTTTTCTGCAAAATTGAATTTGTGCGAGCTTCAGTTTACTTCTCGTTTCCTTCCTTTCAGTGTCTTTTGATTATTCTGTATTTCCTTTGTTGATTTCTGCAATTTCACATGGCGTTGAAGCTCGCATCTTCATCCCTGATTCTTAATTGAATTCTGTTTTTTCTGTTATACCAAAGTTGTAAAGAATCGTGATGCTTGAAGCTTTCTGTTTTTTTATTCATATAACATAGTTATGCAAAATAAAACTAGGTTTATTATCCAATTTTCAATTTATTCGATCATTTTATTTTCATCTTATTTTTGTCATTGGATTTTTTGTTTCTTGGTTTTTTTAGCCCCCCGCTGCGTGTTTGATTTTGGAGAATATCTAAAAGCTTCTGTTAAAAGAGCGGAAGAGAAAGTGAAAGCGTATCTCAGGTACACATATTTACTTATTGGATTTAGATGTGTTCCCCCCCAGTAAATCGCTTCCGAAAATTAATTAGTTCTCTTTCTTTCTTTCTTTTTGGGTCGGGGAAAGAAAAGCTCACTTGTTGATATTTCATAGAATCCCAGTCAGCTTTCTGAGATTCTCGGGGTTGTTGACATGGCGCCAGATTAAATTCTTGATAGCTACTTTCTGGTGGTTCATTTTTCCCCTTTCAATTAATTGATTTTTTATTGATTGCTTTTTCACAAAATTAAATCTGTGTTAAATATTGCGAAATAGCGGTAGGCCATTTTAAAGCATGCTAGGATCTTACCAAACGATCACATCGACGAAATTTTCGTTCATTATTGATGATGCAGTTGCATCCGTTCCTTGACCGTGAGCGGAGAAACCTAAGATTAACTTGTTTTGTTTGATTTAATAGTTTGTCAAATGGAAGACTAAATCGTTTAAAATCTATTCCTGAACATAAAAACGTTTATGCCTGTTCTTTAGGCGACAGGTTAAATAAATTTTCGTGTTTTTCTAATTGTGTTTGTTCTACCAGAAAATGACTTTTCTAAATTTAAATGAGAAATATTTTAAAACAAAATAATGTCTTGGGTGTGCTAGGAGAGTTGACACATACATATCCACTACTCTTCGCCATCCAAAAAATAATATTCAAGGACGTCTTGGATAAGTTAATTATATTAAAGGACTTTAAAAATTAAATTAAAATTCTTTTTAAAAGACCAAATATATTACTGAAGCTTTTAAAAGTTATCGATAATTCTTTTGAAAGGTACTGGTTGTAATTTTGAGAGCATAAGTCATAATTTTAGTCTTCTACAGGAATTTTGGTTCCAAAAGTCTTTAACTGTTGTTAATATTTCATATAGATCCTTTAAGTGTCATTTTTTCAAAAATATATCTCTTTAAAAAAATGAAAAATTGTGGATGTTAGTGCTGAATTAATTTCAGCTGTGAATTAGTAGTTGCTTTTGATTTTTCTTTTTAAAAGTACAACTCAGAGCATAATAGGAAGAGGGAACGACGAGCTTGATTAGCTGCAAGTATTCCACCTCCTTATGCTGAGCAATTAATATTAGTTTTGGTCGAATGGAAAAGAGAGGAGGTGACGGATGTACTTCTTAGTTGCCTCAATATGTTATTCTTCCCTTTTGTTCCAGTTGCTTTTGAATTTTTAGCACAGTATGCTTGCACAATCTCATCCTCTACTCTGGAAATTCGTATCTCCGTGAAATGTGTCACATTAGATTTCTTGCATTTGTGTCAACTGAGGTAACACCTTAAAATAGCTCTAGTCCCATTTTCAAGGTCACATTTAGTATTGCATTCCACTCAACTGTGGTGTTGTTATCATATGAACGTAATCTCCTTTATTGCTAAGTTCTGATGCTAAACGAGTTGGTGGGCTTCCCGGTTTCCAGTCTTTGATGAGATATTATATTCATTCTGCTACAACTGCAATAATGATTCACCTTGTCATTATTAACCCAAAAACACCACTTTGTTTTGTTGTTATGCAAATTGAACTCTTCATTCAAAATCTTATTGACCTGTTGAATCAATGGTGGTATTATCATATTTTTACTAAAACTAGGTGGGCTTCCCATGTATTGAATGGAATCTGAGGAATAAGTTGTACTGTTTATATAACTTTTGAATAGTGCAATACTGCAATTTCTAATTTATATTTCGTATTAATATTTGTATTGATATGTTAGATATATATATTTTTTATCAAAGGAAAACGTAGGTCTAAATAAAATTTCTCATGCTGTCATGTACCAAAAGAATTTTAGCCAGGTCCAAGTACTAAAAACTTTCTCAGAAAAGATTTATCCAAAAAAAAAAAAATTGAAAGAGTGAATATGTTGAAAACTACCTGATTCACTTTATCCAGAAATCAAACACTAGTTTGAAATTTTCAGCTTCTGGATTCCTGATATCAAAGAGATCAAATTATCTTCATGGGCAACTGCTAAGAAAAGTGGATAGTTCACAGAGAAGATGGTGAAACATCGCTTTAGAGATTCTATAAAATCGTTGTTTGGAAGTCATATTGACCCGGAAAAAGAACAGCAGCTGCAAGGAGCTAAAACAGGTATGAAATCAGTTCAAGATTACACTGAAATTGATCAAAATGATCAAACAAATGATCAGGTGTTTTTCCCCTACAGAAATTGAAGACAAAGTAAAAAGAATATTGAAGCTTATTGGGGATGACAATCATGAAGAGGATGGTAGCCGAGTACAATTTTCCAACAAGGAACCACTTGTTGAACTAATTGAAGATTTCCACAATCAATACAAATCACTCTATGCTCAATACGACCATCTAACAGGGGAATTGAGGAAAAAGATTAATGGAAAGCAAGGAAAGGAGAGTTCTTCATCTAGTTCAGACTCAGATTCAGATTACTCTTCAAAGGACAAAGACAGCAAAAATGGACAACTGGAAAATGAATTCCAAAAGATAATTGATAGCCTGAGACAAGAACTTGAAATGGAACATAAGGAAGTTGCAGAATTAAGTCGAAAAGTGACAATTACATGTGAAGAAAAGGAGGATCTAAACTTAAAATATCTTGCAGCCTTGAGCAAGGTAGAAGAAGCAGAGAAAATCAACGCAGATCTGAAAACTGATGCTGAAACATTAGATATTCAGAGATCAAAACTGTTGGCGGAGAATGGTGAACTAAAGAAGCAACTGGACAATGCTGGAGAGGTTGAAGCTGAACTGAATCATAGATTGGAAGACTTGAAGAGAGAGAAAGATAATTTAACCCTGGAGAAAGAGACTGCTATCAGGCAGATGGATGAGGGACAGAAGATTACAGACAGCCTAAGAGCCACGGTGAATCAACTAAATGATGAGAAATTAGCCCTTGGAAAAGAACTAGAGGCTGTGACAAGTGAATTCTCCATCCTGAAGCAGCAATTGGAACAAGCACAGCAGCAAGAGACAGATTTAAGCCGTAATCTGAAAGTTGCCAAGGAAGAGAACGAATCATTGAAGTTAAAACTTTCACAGCTTTCAAATGAGGTTCAGCTCGCTCATGACAGAATACAAGAACTTGTATCTGAATTAACTCAGTTAAAGGAGAGACTGAATGAGAGGGAAAGCGAAGTTTCAGACCTCACTCAAATGCATGAAGGGTATGAGAATGAATCCTCAAATAAAATCAGGGAATTAGAGGCACAAGTCACAAACCTTGAGCTGGAATTGGAATCAAGGCAAGGGCAGAATCGAGACATGGAAGTGCAAATAATTAGTAGCAGAACTGAAGTTCGAGAGCTAGTAGAGCACAATTCAGGACTACAAAACCAAATTTCAGAGCTTGAAATAAAGTTCAAAGAAAGAGAAAATGAACTGTCTGCTATTGTGAAGAATCTTGAAGATAATGAGAATAGGTCGTTATCCAAAATAGCTGATTTGACATCCCAGATCAATAATCTGCTAACTGATGTAGACCAGCTACGTGCTCAGAAAGATGAACTGGAAGAACGGGTATTGTTTGAAAGTAATGAAGCATCAGCTCAAGTCAAAAGCATTACAGACCTGGTAAATGTATTGCAGCAGGAAGCAGAGGCCCTACAACACCAGAAATCTGACTTGGAAGTTCAACTTGCCAAAAAGGTCCAAGAAAATTCTGAGCATCTGATTCATATGCAAACTCTAAAGGAGGAGGTCGTCAGTAAGACTCTAGATCAAGAGAGGTTTGTTGAAGAAACAGAAAAATTAACCATGCAGATAAGGAAGCTGGAATCTGAGGTAGACATGGTAAATAGCCAGAAGGGTGAAGTTGAAGAACGAGTGAGGGTTAATGACCGTGAAATCAGACAAGTGAGAGAGGAGAAGTCAGGGCTACATGGCAAAATATCTGAAGCTGAGAAAAGATTAGCAGAGAGGGAGTTCGAGATCTCTGCTCTCCAGGATAAACTTAAGAAAGCGGAGGATGAGGGTTCAACTCAAATAATGGCCTTAACATCACAGATTGATAATCATCAACGGGATTTGGTTTCCCTGCATAATGAGAAGCAAGAATTGGCACAGCAGTGTGAAAAACTGAAGTTGGAGTTGGATTCCATAAATAACAGCAAGAATGAAGCTGAAGAACAAATAAGAGCTCATGCACACGAGAATGATCAATTGAAAGGGGAAATTTCTGGGCTGCAAGAGAGAATTGCTGCCTTGGAGAAAACTTTAGCAGAGAAAGAGGCTGAATTCTCCAGTTTTCAGGACAAACTCCTTGGAGAAAAGAATGAGGCTTCATCTCAAATAATTGTCTTCACAAGCCAGATCAAGAATCTGCAAGATGACTTGCTTTCCTTGCAGAAAGAGAAAGAAGAATTGATGCTTCACAGCGAAAGACTTACAGGAGAACATGCAGAAAACCTGATATTGCTAGAGAATGAAAAGAAAGAGCTAGCAGGCAAAATTTTGGATCATCAGAGAATGCTAGAAGAACGAGAAGACAGGTATCAGAAGTTAAATGAAGAATATAAACAAGTTGAGAGTTGGCTTCAGGAATGTAAGGTGAAACTTGAAGTTGCAGAAAAGAAGATTGAAGAAATAACAGGAGAATTTCATAGCGGCATTGAGTCAAAGGATCAGATTGTAACTGATTTGGAACAAACAGCAGAAGACTTGAGAAGGGATTTGGAACTGAAGACAGATGAAATTGGTACTTTGCTTGAGAACATCCGAAATATTGAGGTCAAACTTCGTTTGTCAAACCAGAAGCTTCGGGTTACAGAACAATTGCTAAGTGAGAAGGAAGAAAACTTCAGGAAGGCAGAAGAGAAGTTCCAGCAAGATCAGAAAAAACTTGAGGACAGGATTGCCACCTTGTCAGGAATAATTGCTGCTAACAGTGAGGCCTATCAGGCAACAGTCACTAACATCAAAGAGAGTATGAGGTATGTGATGACTGGTATAGATACCGTGATGGGGAAACTTACTGATGAGCATAGAAATTATGAAAACCGCATTTCAAACCTCTCAAATGAGCTTCAACTAGCAAAGGACTGGGTTAGAGAGATGAACGAGGAAAAAGAGAAGCTAAAAAAGGACAGGCACCATTTGGGGGAGCAGCTGCAGGAAAGAAATGACAAGGAATTGACTTTGAGAGAGATGGTTCAGAAGCTAGAGTCAAAGGCTAGCAAGGAAGAACTAGAGAATAAAAATCTGACGACAACAGTGGTTCAACTTCAGAAGTCAGTGGCAGGACTAGAGCAAATGGTAAAAGATAAAGACAAAGGTATAATGGGCTTGGCGGAAGAGAAAAGAGAGGCCATCAGGCAGCTGTGTTTGTGGATTGATTATCATCGCAGTCGTTATGATTATCTCAAGGTCATTATATCCAAGACTCCCAGAGTTCACAGGGCAACGTGAGCTTAGCTAGGATATTCTTTTGTTCAGTTCGTTCCATTAGGATTTACATCTCTACATTTGATTGAAATTAGTTTTGTTTTCTCCCCATCTTATTTCGAAATGTGTGTTGATAGATTGATTTATCGCTTCATAGGGGACATCATATATAATCAGTTTATTGTCGCCCTCTAGAGCCACTTCCTGTCATATTTCCATTTTCTTTCTTTTGACTCTCCCCTCCCCAGATTGGGCTTGTAATAATATACTGAGGATAGGATCCTTTGTTTTTGTCAATAACTTTGAGAATTTTTGTTCGGACGGTAAAGAAATAGGTAGGCTAGATCAAATTATCATAATCCTGCAAAGAGCTAGATTAAACGTGAACCCTATTATTTATTTATTTTTCCTTTTTTGGGGCGGGCGATTTTAAAAAGCGATTGCCCCTCACACGTCGCAACTTTTATGCTCTTTGCAGAGATAAACAAAATTTGTATGTGCACACTTGTTTATAAACAAATGACACAAATTCATTTGACATTTTCTATGATATGATTAACTACAAAATGACGGAGTTGGAATTTGTGAAGATTATTAGGTGAGATATATTGAAGTGGTCAAGGTCGACGAAAGGGATAGTGCTAATAACCCAAAGTTGAAGGAAAGAATTCCCATTTTTTGGCAGAAAAATAGTGGAACATGAAAACAAACAAAAAAAATTAAACATAGAAGAAAAAAGATTATAGAGCAAGAGCAGCCAGGTTATAATATGCCATGCTTAATGATAACTGTCAGAGCATGCTCCTTGTTTACTGTGAAGTAGCAAGGACACAAACAAAGCTAAGGCACCCAGCCATCCACCCACCAATGCTCTCACTTACAAAGGATAGTTGATTGATAATCAGAAATTATCATCGACGGCATTGTGCATCTATTTAAAGTCAAAATATGTCATGTCCGGTCCTGGTTATCAGTTATCATCCACGTCGGAGGAAAACTGCCTGCAGCTGAATCTCGAGTCTTCTCTAGTCTCTCCAAAGGAGCTACAGAAGTCCGTGTCCAATTCTAAACTAATATTGATCTATTTTTTGCGAACCTAAACTAATATTTATTTTATCAAAGACTTTGAAGAGGGGGCATTTATTTGACAGAACAATAAAATAAAATCATTTTCTAAATACCATATAAATGGAATTCTAAATGAGAGAGTTCACAGAATAGAATGGGAAACTTGCATGGAGACAATGGACGAAATAAAAGACCATTCTTTCTTTTCTTCTTTTAATGGTGAATAAAGATTAGGCTGTGTTGGCAAAAAAACAAAAAAAAAAAAGAAAAAAGATTAGGCTGTGTCTATATTACACCAAGTTAGGAGCCACACCGACACATCCCTAAGTTCAATGCGACTTTTTGTTTTTTTGGGTACAGTAGTGGGCTAAGCCCATAAAAGACAAACTACACTAGAGGGGAGTGAGATCCTAAGCAATCCATGTTCACTTAATTCGTCAGAAAATCTGGAACTGAATCGAAAAAAGAGGATGACGCAAGTCCTCTTTTGGCCAGACGATCTGCCACTTGGTTTTGCTCCCTTGTCACATACTGAATGTTAACACTCCAATTCCATTGTAACATATTGACAATTTGGAGGAAGATTAAGCTGCCAGTATTTCTTCTGTTGCTATCATCATTGATGTTGTCAACCAAATTCTTGCGATCAGATTCCAAATGATATTTCAAAAGCCCATGTCCAAGCCAGCATGAGACTCCTCCTCACTGCCCATTCCTCAGCATCATATGGACTACAATGGCCCAACATAAGAGCAAAACCAGATATGCAACAACCACAATGATCCCTCAGAACTGTCCCACAACCAGCACTGCCATTTGACATTGATACAGCACCATCAGTATTTATCTTTATCCAGTCATGAGGTGGGCGTATCCATCCACTCAAGATTTATGAGTACCAATAACACTAACTTCAGCTTCACTTGTGAAAACAAAATTTTTCCAGCAATTCATAAGAGCAGTGAAAGGGTCTTGAGGTTTTTGAAAATTCTGGTCAAAAATAAAATTAGTTCTCCATGACCATGATTTCCAAGTTCTGACACCCCAAATCTGATCCCAGTTAGAGCTCATGGAAGGAAGAAATTTCTTCTTAAGATTCATAGAAACCCAGCCTTTTAAAGAAAGTGTAAAGAATTGATAGTAGTTACTCTAATGAATAAGCTTACATCATTTATCTTTAGCATAAGGACAATCCCGAACTATATGAAGAATATCCTCAATTTCAGCTTGGCACCGATCACATAGGGCTGAACACTGAGACCAAGTGCTTGTCCAGGCAGTCGTGGCTAATGTGATACACTTGCCAAATGGGGAACCGAATCCTCTCAGCTCCTCCCTACTTCCAGATTAGATTAAAAACTGGGTTGTAAAGGTGAGGTGGATTCTTCTCAATCAAGAAGTAGGCGCTCTACGTAGAAAAATTGCCAACAGCAATGAGTCATCGAATGACTTCATTAGATACAATCTGTGACAGGCGATTAAAATCGCAAGTACAATGCGAGTTAAAGTTCCTGCAGCTACAGGAGTGGGGGCCTGGGGTGATTTTTCGTGGGCCTGTGCCTGTGTTTTATGCTCGTGTGGAAAGAAATAGGAGAGCCAGCCCAAAACCAATGTTCAAGGAATGGATTGGTGCCACGTATAATTTTTGAAAAAGAAAATTGAGGGCGAGAGGGGAGGCCCTCTTTTATATCCGCCACAGGTGTCCATGTCAGATGTCAAGGGATAACTAATTATTTCATTTTATCAACAAATTGAACAGCCTAATTTTAATGTCCTCAAGACACAAACAGATATCCCTGCAGTTTAGCAGCTCCAAACATGAATGGAGTTCATCAAAATCGGGACATTTGACGGCAAGAATCTCATTCCAGGGGTGCCCTAACCAAAGTAATTAATGTTCACCGGATAAATTGGATGTCTAGCTCTCTTAACTCAAAAAGAAAGTAGAAGGAATAGAAATTTTACAGAAGTGGTGAACCACCATCATGGATCATTTAATAAAATTGTATCAATTTAATTAAATAAAATGTTATATGTCATTATTTTTATAATAAAATACTCTTTTTGATTTCATTTATAAGACATATTTTAAAAGATTTATTTAATTTCATTTATAAGTCACGGTGTAATTTTTTTGGATAACATTTAAAAGATATTTTTAAAATTACCATTTAGATTTGATTTGTTATATAAGAACATATTTTAAATTTTATATTCTTTTATTCTTTTAATTTTTTTTTTTGACATTAGTATTAATATGATCAGTAGAAATAATTTATAAAAAGTATTTAGAAGTATACTTATTTAGCTATCTTTTATATTCTCTGGGGACTGTCATTAATGTAAAAATCATCTCAACGCCTTGTTTTTGTTGCCACATGAATGATGTGGGCACCGGTCTATCCAAAGATTTATGGTAAGGAAAAAGATAACTAATCGAACACCGAGCGTTGTTTAACTATCAGTCTTCCAGCAAGCAGGAATGTCGGCGAACGTAAAGCTCATATGAAACAGCTACCGGCAGGAATATTCAAACAATACCTATGGAGGACTGAATTATCAGAAAACAGCAATTTCTCCATGTCGTAAATGAAAGTTGATCGCTAGAGCATGAACATAATGAGAAATTAAGAAAGAACGAAAGAGAAAAGGACAAATATGAAAAACAACTACAAAAATCATATTACGAAACACAGTTTATAAACTCAACCGAATCAAAAAAAAAAAAAACCAAGAAATAAAAGGAGAAACGGAAACACTGACGATAACCGCAATTCGAAGGCAACGAGTGTGAGATCTACAAAAAGAAAGGGGGAAATATATGTACTCGAACCATTGGAACTCAACACTCAGTGACGATTTCCAGAGGCGAAAGAGTTGCAGATTGACGACCGTGGAGAGCACAGGAGCAGGGGAGGATCAATATCAACATCACCGGAACCGGCGAAATCACGCCATCGAAGAGAACGAATGGGACAGGAAAGAGGGACCGTGGCCGCGTGGCGGGAGTTGCGCAATCTATTCCCATTACAAATTGACATTTGAAAGTTGGCTTGTCGGAGAGGGGATTCAGATCCTCTCAGAAGCTCCTTCCCTCAGCTTCCCTCAACATCTCTGATCTCAGCTCTTCAATAAAAATTTAATATCCCATAATTTGTTACATTATCTAATATAAAAATAATTTTATTTTAAAAATTAATTCTTTCATTAAATTAATTTTTTATTTCGTTTTCTTTTTTTAAAACTGCTTTTAAAGAATTTCCCCGCAGATTTTCACAAAAGAACTTATACTTTAACTTATCCAAACTCTAACTTAATTTATTTAATAAAAAATTATTTAAAAAAATTTATAAAATAAGTTTGACTCTAAACAAATATTTCTAGTTTGGCTTATTCAAATTCTGACATGATTTATTTTATAAAATCTTATTTAAAAAATTTATAGAATAAGTCAAACTATAAGTAACTTATTTAAATTCTGACCTAATTTATTTAATAAAAAATTATTTTAAAAAATTTTAAAACAAATTAAAAGAATTAATTTTTAAAGTAAAATTATTTTTATATTAAATGATGTGGTAAATTATGCATTAGATTTTTATTGGAGGGCTAAGATTAGAGACGCTAGAGGACATTGAGGGGAGGAATCTGAGAGGATTCGAATCCGTCGGAGAGGCACTACCTTTCCTTTTTTTTCTTTTTGATATTTCGTAAGGAGAAACTCAAATGATACGAGTAGGTTTTTTTTTTTTTTTTTTGGGTACGTATTCTTGTTGGATGTGCATACTGCATAGTTAAGCATCTTTTTGCTGGCCTTTCGTGAGGAATCCAGTTCATCCATATTGATTAATCATGTTAAGTTTAACCGTGCTCAATTTTTTATTGGCTCTAAAAAATAACTAAAAATGTTAAATATGGGGTCACATCACACTCTCACATGGGATATCCACTTATTTATTTACTAAAATTCCAATTATTAAAAAAATCTCATAAAAGTATTCGTGAATTATTAAATATCAGTGATGCCCCCTATGCCAACTAAATGTTGAAAGACGGTGCTTGGGAATGTATTGTAATTTGTTAGCTTATTACATACGTATCTGGTAAGGTAAGCTGGTCGCGCAGATAATAGTCCGTGTCAACACACGAGCGCCTTGTCATTTCTCATTTGACCCCAAGGACCATAAAATATTCTCAGAAGAAAAGTGTGGATTTGAGTTCAGTGATGATTCATTTGAGTCTCGATAATATTAGCTATTCTTACCGACACTTACTCTATTAAACTGGTATCATTAATTTTTATTATTCTTATCATTACCACGTACAACATCATTAAGATTCCATATTAGGTGAGTGAGGTAAAACTTAAACTTCAGAAGGAAAATAGTTAAATGCTAACTTGGACCGTCTCTCTATCAGGAGACCAAGAATTTGATCATTGACTGCATAATAATCTTTGTGGAGTAAATCATATACATCTATCATAAATCTATCATTTGTAAATCACATTCATCTTTTTCTTAATTTATCTTTTATCATCAATGAATTCTTTTTCTCAAGTTTCGTCAATATATAAATTCTTTTCATGCTATGATAAATATTTTGCTTAACAAAATGAATAATAAAAATAAATCAGTGTTTAAGAAAATCTCAATAGAGTCGTATTGTGTCATTTCATAAATAATAAAAATAAATGTAACTTTTCATCAAAAATGTAATTTAGTTGTTACTATAAGAAATTAACATGATTTATTGCCAATATATAAAATAAGAATTAAAAAGCCGTATTAATTGTCTGATTAATTAGCATCTTCAGGGCCTGGGGGAAAATCAGTCACCTCTTTTTTAAAAAAGGAAAAAGAAATTGCATAAAGTGGGACTGAACCTCGTCTTTTCCTGAAGAGTTAATCTAGCCAAGTTTAGTCGGTAGCTTCAGTCTAAGCCGCATTAATATCTGTTTGCGTGGATGAATCGATGAGATAATTTCTCTCAGAAACACTTCCTCCATGCTTGGTAAGCAACACGAGCATTTGGACATCATTTGTTGTTTTGAAAGTAGCATCTGGGCTTAGAGCTAGCTCCCAGGCTCCCAGCAAGGAAAGTGAGGAAGAAGATGAAGATTGATTGTTTGAAACATAAGTTTCTCTACAAGCACAAAAATTTACTCCTCAAGTTCGTGCTTGCCATTTTCTTCGTTGGTCTCGCTTTCCGGCTCCTTTTCTTTTATTCCCCAGAAATTTCGCCCATTTTGGAATCCCCTTCTCCAAAGAAAGACACAGTTCTTGATGAACCCCTTGTTTCAACACAAGACAATGAGGATGAAGCCGAAACCGCAGATCAAGAATCTTACACAGGTGAGCACTCTCTTAATTGGCTAATTGTTCACTTTGTCTGTTACTTTCCCTTTCCGTTTCTTCTTTGTCGCTACATTAACAGTCTAGTCGAAGAGCGGAAAAATGAAAATCTATCCAAGGTTAGAAGTTAATATTCTTGCCGTGAGTAGTTAATAAACTATCCGAGCCTAGATCTGCATCCCAGTAGAAGTCTTGAAAATTTATGAATTGATAGTTCATTGGATTTTCTGATATAAATCTGTGCTCGATGAAGCTGAACAGATAGAAGATTTTGTTCTTGTTACTCGGTGATCTCCTTGTCCTAAAATATTGAAAGTTTTCCTGCAAATTTCTTGCAGAAAATTGCGATCTCTTTACAGGGGATTGGATCCCAAACCCCTCAGGTCCAGCTTATACCAATGAAACCTGCAAATTTATCGAAGGCCATCAGAATTGCTTAACAAATGGGCGTCCCGATACAGGTTACCTAAATTGGAGATGGAGACCGCGAGACTGTGAGCTGCCTCAATTTAATGCTAAGAAATTTCTGAAACTGATGCGAAATAAACACTGGGCATTAGTAGGTGATTCCATATCACGTAACCATGTGCAGTCGTTGCTGTGCTTGCTTTCAAAGGTATGTGTTAGCATTGCCTGATAGAATCTTTTGTAATAGTCCTGTGTTGCACTGCCATAACTTAATGTTTTTGAATGATAACAAGGCTGCCACGAGTTAGTTCTTTAACATATCTGCCCTTCAACATCTCTATCTACGAAGAATCAAGAGGAACGGGAAAGAGAGAATGAATGACTTTCCTGAACATAACTTACTATTATCTATCGCAATGAGTACATATTTGACGGAGTGGATTCTGATTTGCATTCTTTTTGGAGGACGTTTCTTCTACCTGTCTACTCCCAACCATCTTTTGTGTGTTCGAGCGTCTATGTTTCTCTGCATCATATGGTTATCATATCATTCATGGCTTCCTCATGCTTTTCTTTAGGAATATAGACTCTCACCTGTCATCTGCACTTTAGTTACTGAATTAGCGGACAACCTTTTTACATTAGGTAATTGAAAAATACATGACGTTTAGCGTTTTGACTTTTGCGGTGTTAAAGAATTTTTGTTCTTTATTGTTCTTTATTCCTTATTGATAATGATATCTGCAATGAGTGTTAATTCCATGAGCAACGTATTTAAGTTCACAAGTTTTGCTAAACTTTTCAAGGGTTTTCAAGAGGGGTGGGGTTTAGCGTAATCTTAAAAAGACAATGATAAATGATTCCAAAAATAAAATATGGGTTAAATCATATGTACTGAAGTTTTGAAATCCAAGATACCAATGTCAGGAAAGATTAAGCAGTATGATGTTATTCTAGATGGGTTATTTAGTTATGATTATCATGGTGGCACCAAACATGATATCAACTGCATGAACATTAAGGGATTGAGTGCCCCGGCTATGAAGTTGACTTGTCATTTTTTGCCAATTTTCCAAAATGGCTTCCCAAGTGTTGTTGAATTTTCTTAGCTCTCTAGTGTTTACTCCTTTTATTTGGCAACTATAACTAGTTGCTCAAGGGTATCTTTGGTAAGCGAGTGATTTCACTTCAACTATTTTTTCTTCAGGGAGAGCAACCTGTGATGGTTTACCACGATGAAGAATATAGGTCCAGAAAGTGGCGCTTTCCCTCATATAACTTCACCATGTCAGTTGTATGGTCGCCGTTCCTTGTAGAAGCTGCTATATTTGAGGACATGAACGGTGTTTCAACCTCTGAAGTTGAGCTGCATCTTGACGAACTTCACAGTGAATGGACAGATCAGTACCAGAGCTTCAATTACATGGTTATTTCAACTGGGAAATGGTTTCTCAAATCCTCAATCTACTATGAGAATGACACTGTACTGGGCTGCCACAACTGTCCTAAGAGGAATCTGACAGAACTGGGGTTTGATTTTGCTTATCGGAAAACCCTCAAACTGGTCCTCAACTTCATCGCAACTTCCAATCACAGAGGCATGATCTTTTTTAGGACATCCACACCTGATCACTTTGAGAATGGAGAGTGGTTTAGTGGAGGAACTTGCAATAGAACAGCACCACTTAAGGAAGGTGAGATGGAAATGAAGGATTTGAACCAGATTCTTCGCGACATCGAATTAGAGGAGTTTGCTAAGGCAGCTGTGAATGCTGCAAGAAATGGAGTGAACCTTAAACTGCTTGACCTATCGCCAATCTCACTATTGAGGCCAGATGGTCATCCTGGACCATACAGACAGTTTCATCCATTTGCCAAGGGCCAGAATGCTCAAGTTCAGAATGATTGCTTGCATTGGTGCTTACCAGGGCCAATCGACTCTTGGAATGACATAATAATGGGGATGGTCATAAATGGCTAAGAAAATCAGCTAAATGCCATGTAAAATTCTCCGAAGTAAAAGCTCTGAATTTGCTGCTCTCTGCATACCACGGTTCCCTGCGATATTCGTTCAAACATATTCTGACCAGTCAATATTTCCCATTGTTTATTGTTTTTCTGTATCCTATGAAGGCTCTTTTTTTTTTGGTTGACCCAAAAAAGAAAAGGAATGTAACAAGGGACTGTGAACCTCTTTACAGCTGATTTTGATAGTTATATTGAAAGTATATGATTGAAAGTAGATTACAAAATTAAGGCTTTAAAAACAGCAGATTGTCACGGGTCATTACTCTCTCTTAAAAAAGTTAGGTCATTGAGGTGTATTCGTTTATATAGTTAAGATATTTTTTAAGTTCCTATGACATGGGACATGATAGCTCCTTTGGCTAGTCCATGACACTCATGTCACGAGTGGTCTACCAAATGAGTTCACTAACTAAACAAATTTGAATTTAATTTTAATATTATTTTGTCACAGGGTTATAACTTTCTTTTCAATAAGTTAGCCTTTTGGAAGAGATTAATGATCTCGTGACAAGGTATTGTTAATTATATTTTGGTTTTTTTGGTGGCTTGGTAACGAATCCTCATGAAAATTCTTCTTATCTTTATCATCATTATTAAATATATGGTTCTTAGTGCAGATAATTGGACGCCAATACTTGATTTTGTTGGTGACTTTTTTTTTTTTTTTGACGAGCTAATTCTTCTAGAAGCAGCACTACAAAATTTGGTGGCAATGAAGAAGAAAAGAAATTTCCATTTCTCGGCGTATTCTGTTCCGGAACAAAAGTCATACAATAGCAGTGATGCAAATTGCAAGTCCTATTTTGGTCGAATTCCGTTTTTCTGGGTTAAATATCGTAGTCCATTTTTGTAAGTTCTTGACTTGGTGATCCTCACTAAAAGGTCAACGGTTCACCTTTGGACGCGCTTGAGCTCAAGGAAGTATAACTGGATCAGCTTATCTATGTACCCCCCCAAAAAAAAAAAAACTTTAGTCGGCCCTGAAGGTAAATAATTTAAATTTTAAATGAAAAACAAATAGTTGCTATTGTACCTTTTTTTCGATGATACATAACAAATATAATTATCTTATATATATATATATATATATATTGTAATTTTATTGGATATTTTTTAATAAAAAATAGTAATTCATATAGTTTGAAAAACTATACAAGTTTCTCATATACCACATAAAGCCTGAGATGATTATTTGCGCCTTAAGAGCAATATGGTTTATTATGAATTTTAGCTTACATAGTTATATACTGAAAATGATTAGATTATTGACGGAGATGAAAATATGTACAATATTTATTTTTATGTATGAATTTTATTTCTCTTACTCTATTATATGTCGATAAGTTAACGATATAAAATTTCACCAAAAAAATACAATAGAAGATATGAACTCTAATCTAGTCCAATTATTTTATACCGCTTTGATTGGAAAGTTGAAATTCCATGTAAAAATACATTGTACCATCTCATTGCAGGGCCAAGATTCACCTATTTGGCATAGAGGCCTGAAAGATAATGAATGAAATTGAAACAAAAAATTTGAACGGTGTTTTCCTTTTTTTAAATTTTCTTTTTATGGCGACGACACTCGTGACGGTTAAAAGATTTTCCTCGCTTCCCAACGGTCATGATATACAGTCAGCCAAGCGCCAGCCACAGGGTCGCCAAGTCATCTCTATCTCTTTCAAATTTGAAAAATTAGACCGTTGCGCTTCCTCTCGTTTAAAGGGTCAGCCTAACTCCTAAGTTAGCTGCTACCCTCATTCCCCGAAAGAAGCTCAAACAGTGTTTCACACACACACTCTCTCTCTCTCTCTCTCTCTCTCTCAGAGATGGCCGAGATAAGTGCCGAAGTGTCGATCGATCAAATCCCGTCGAGGAAGCAGCGGAGCCGAAGAGCGTTGAAGGATAAGAACCTCTCAGCCAATGATGCCAAATCCTTGACCAAGAAGCTGCCTGATTCCTCCACGCCACAGGTTTCAAAGGAATCAGACGCCGGAAAGGAGAACCAACCCAGCGTTTCTCAACTGCGCTCCTCACCCAAGAAGGGAAGAGCTGCCTCGAAAAAACAGTCGAAGCAATCTCTTGAGAAAGATTTTCAAGAAATGCAGGAGATGATGCAGAAGTTGCGGCTTGAGAAGGAGCAGACTGAAGAGCTCTTGAAGGTCAAAGATGACATATTGAAGCAGAAGGAAGAAGAGCTTGACGAGCGTGGCCGCGAGCAGGAGAAGCTTCAGACGGAGTTGAAAAAATTGCAGAAGCTCAAGGAGTTCAAACCCATCATGGTTCGTTTTAATTTTGTGGTTGTGTTAATCTTTTTTTTTTCTTTTTTGGTAAGTAATATGTTTGTGGGAATCTGGTGAGACCCCATTAAGTAATATTCGTTATATGTTTGTTAAGTAATATGCATTGATTGCTCAGAATTTGCCTATGCTGAGAGACAAGGAGCAAGAAAAGAAGGACAACAAGAAGAAGAATGGATGCGCTGTGAAAAGACCTTCTCCACCTTACATTTTGTGGAGCAAAGATCAATGGGCTGAGGTAAATTTATAGTCAGCGTCGAAATCGAAAACGTTCTTTTATTTTTAACTCCGGGTGCTTTGATGCAGATCAAGAAAGCGAATCCAGAGGCAGAATTCAAGGATATTTCAAACATGTTAGGGGCTAAGTGGAAGACCGTCAGCGAGGAAGAGAAACAGCCTTATGAGGAGAAGTATCTAATTGAGAAAGAAGCTTATCTGCGGGTAATCACCAAGGAGAAACGTGAAAGTGAGGCAATGAAGCTGTTAGAAGAGGAGCAAAAGCAAAAGACTGCCATGGAATTGCTTGAACAGTACATGCAGTTCAAACAGGAAACAGAGAAAGAAAGCAAGAAGAGCAGGTACAGTAGCTATCTTAGAGTTGATTTACATCAGCGTTGTTTATTTATGTTGTCTGACACTATTATTATTCGCAGAAAAGAGAAGGATCCACTGAAACCAAAGCATCCTGTGTCAGCTTTTATCTTGTACACGAATGATAGGCGGGCAGCTATTCTTGCCGACAACAAGAGTATCTTGGAGGTGATTGATCGTTATCTGCGTTTATGATCTCTTTCAGATGATATCAATGAGAATAGAAGAACAATGATTTAATGTTGATGCCTTGCAGGTTTCAAAGATTGTAGGTGACGAGTGGAAGAACTTGACAGAAGATCAAAAAAGACCTTATGAAGAGGTTTGCCTCTCTGTCACTAATTTGACTAAGCCCTGTTCTTTAGTGGCTTGATATCTTGCTAATTCCTTTTCTTCAAAACAAACAGATCGCAAAGAAGAATAGGGAGAAATATATTCAAGATATGGAGGCTTACAAACAAAAGAAGGATGAGGAGGCTGCGAATCTCAGGAAGGAAGAGGAGGAGCAAATGAAACTTCAGAAAGAAGAAGCCTTGAAACTGTTAAAGAAGAAAGAGAAAACGGAAAATCTGATCAAGGTTCACCATTTTCCACATTTTAGATTAATCATCTTGAGGTTTTTCATTCGTTGTTGCTAACCTACACGCACATATGCCTGCAGAAGTCAAAGAAGAAGAAACAGAACAAGGAAGACAAGAATTGTGATCCTAACAAGCCTAAGAGACCGCCATCCTCATTTCTGCTATTCAGGTGAGTCGAAGTTACATTGGATAGGGTTTAAGGAGGAGGGAATTTCTCATTGCTCAATGTTAAAAGAAAATGTGGTTTTGGTGTGCAGCAAAGAAGCAAGGAGGAGCATACAGGAGGAACGACCAGGGATGAATAACTCTAACCTGAACGCACTGATATCAGTGAAATGGAAGGAACTGAGCGAGGGAGAGAGAAAAGTGTGGAATGACAAAGCTGCCGAGGCAATGGAGGCATACAAGAAGGAATTGGAGGAGTACAACAAATCCATTGCAGCCAAGTTGGACCAGTAAGAATAAGAAAATAGGAATCGAAAAGAAGGGACTGACTCTTGGGGTGTTCAAATTTCTGTTGAATACCGAATGCGCGTTGTTGTTTTTAAATCTGATGTAATCTTCAGTATTCTAATGGCCTGACCACGGCAGATAGTTGCTCAATTTCTTCTCCCTCCAATCTTGATGGAAACGTGTGAACTGCTCACTGCTAGATCAAGATAACTAATGATTTTTGCACAGCTCATCAGTCGTCCCACCCACGGAATTTGGCCCCTTAGCAGTTATCGCAATCAACCCGCAACGTGAGACGTGCCCGACAGCATATGACGTGTGTGTGACGACTACCACTTTATGTTTTTGAAAAAATTACACTTAAAAGAAAAGTGCGAGTGGTTGCCGACCATACTCTATAATGAGTGCGAGTTTGATGCATCTCTTTCGTTGACTGGTAGGTTTCCGTTTAAGACATTCTCACATTCCGTTTAGGACATCCATACTCTAATAAGATGAGGCATCTGCTTTAAAATAGATCTGTAAGGCTAGCAGTGTTCCCTACCAAATGAAATTTCTTCCTTTGGTTTTTTTTTTTTTTTTGGGTCTGACCAATCAGAAAATAATACGTTGTTTGGCATGCTCGTCAACTTGCGTCTACCAGCTTCACATTGTTTCCTAACTCAAGTTCGTCTGTTTGATCTGGTTGGGCTACGTTGACTCTTTGTTTCGGCCATACATATATTCCTTCGGTGTAGGTTGCCCCAGTCCCCAATTAAAGTAGCTTCGTAAATATCTCATCCTCCTGCTTTGCAAAGCTCATCGAAGTATTCTAGATCTATAGTGTTTTAAAATATTAAAAAAATATTTATTTTAATTTTTGAATTTTAAAAGAAATAGATGTAGGGACTGTAGTGTGTGTGTGTAGATATTAGATTTAATAAAAATGATAAATATGAAATTTGTTGTGAGATTATAAATTTAATTTAAAATGTAAAAAATAAATATTTTATATTTTGAAAATTTATGTGGGATTCATGAAAAAATAATAGGCATAGGATATATACTAAAAAGTAATGGTGGATACAAGACTTATAGTGAGAATAATAGGCGTTGGATATTCAATGAAATTACAATTTGATTTAATTGAAAGGTCAAAAATAAGTATTAACTGACTGGATTTTTTTTTGGAAATTTAATTTTAATTACGTGTAAATAAAAATTTATATAATAATAAATTATTATTTATATTTTGAGTAAAATAACATGAGTATTAGTTCAATTATAAGGATTAAGGAAGATTCACATGGGCCAAGAGTTAATATATATATATATATATATATATATATAATAGTGATGAGATTCAATAAAAATGATAAATATGAAATTTGTAATGAGATTAAAAAATTAATTTTAAAAATTAGAAAATATAAAATTTGAATATTTTAAAAAAGCATGTGGAATTCATAATAAAAAAATATGTATAGGAGCCATACTAGAAAATGATGGTGGATATGAGATTTATATAGTAAAAATAATAGGTGTTAAATATGTAATAAAATTATATATTTAGTTTAAATGAAAGGTAAAAACTAAAAACCAAGTATCTAACTGAATGGATTTTTTTAGAAATTTAATTTTTAATCATGTAAGGATAAATTACATAAAATAAGAAATTGTTCTTTATATTTTGAGTAAAGTACAGTGAATATTAATTCCAAGGACCATTTGCATGAATTTTAACAATTGAAGAAAAGTATATGCAATTATAGTAAAATAGATAATGATGTCAGTATATTTTACTCTTATAGTTTGAATATACACAAAATAAGAAATTTTAAAGTAATTTGTGTGAAAATAAAACAAGTTGGCATATATTTTCAATATGCAAGACGAAATTTTTTTTTCTTTTTTTGTGCAAAAATTATTCAATATGTACAATGACATTTTTTTTGTGCAAAAATTATTTAGTTATGTACTTTTTTGTATATTATCTAAATTAGGTTTTGTCTTCTAAATAATTAAATATAATCAAGTTGTGTCTTCTAAATAATTTTTACACATATAGAATTTTTAGAAAAAATTAATAAAAAATATAAACTCTGTATTAAATCAAATTTTCTATGGATATCAAACGTGTTTTTGTTTTGAGAAAATCAGTCATTCTTTAATAATTTTAATTATAGGTAAACATGAATTAAATTAAAAGAGCTTGATTTAAACAAGATAAACTACAAAGATATATTTTAAAATTATTGAGAGAAACTGTAAGGACTTGTAACTTAATTTTTCTTATTTTTGTGATAAATTATTTATATTTTAATATATATATATATATATATATAAGAGTAATACATCACAAAATAAAAATTTTCTTTAGATTTTATTTTCCACAAGGCAGTTTCTAAAATAAAATAAATTATTATTTATATTTTTAATATGTATTTATATAATAAATTTTTAAATAGAATAAGTTATTAATTAGTTTAAATTTATATAAAATAATAGAATAGGAGTATATTAAATCATTTTTATTCTTTGAATATTAAAACATCCCGTGCATGGGGAATATATCTGCTTATTATTCATATTAGACTAAAAAGTAAAAAGATCAAGCGTAAGGTGCAACTAGCATCATCTCCCTCGGCAAAATACTCAAAGACCCTCTCTTAAATATGTTTATCGCATTTATTGGCCAAAAGCCAGATGACTTCACTTCTGACGCGATGATGATATGGCAAGATAAAAAATTTGTACTCTAACCCCATTTAGGAGGCAAAGTAAAAAAATATTTAATCTTATTTATAAATTATTTCATTAAATTTTCATCTCAAATTTTGTAAATATTTAAGAAAGAAAATATGTTATTAAAATATTTATATTTAATAGGAATAAAGTTAAAAAATTATTAAATTTTTAAATAAAATTAATGAGTTTTAAAATTATTGTTGATTTTGTGTAAACATATCAAAAGTCCCTTAAAAATAGGATTAGAAGAGTATTTTTAATCGAAAAACAAGAAATTCAGGCCTATTTAGTTTTAGTTTTCAAAAACAGTTTTTTTTATAATTTAAAAACTAGTTTGGATAGGTGTTTGCAAAATACATTACATCATATTAATGAAAATTATAGTTACATGATTATTACAAATCATCAATAATAACCGCCAATGATCACTATTATTATTGAATTTTTCAATTTCAAAACGGTTTTCAAATTACTACACCCAAACAGATTTTCTTTTTATTTTATTTAAAAACAATTTTAAAAACTATATTGCAAAAAAATTAAAATAAAAAATGAAAATAGAAACCAAATATGCCATTAAAGTTCTTAGATAATAAATATGTGTTTTTTAATTAGAATTCAGAATAATAAATATATGCTATACATACAGAACCACATACGTAAATGTAAATATATATTATATATATTCTCATAAAGAAAAGCGAGTCACATAAAATAAATATCCTAAAATACATAAAATGGGGGGGGGGGACAATCGCAAGAAGATTTTAAGGAAATTGCAGGGTAAATTTTAAATTTCACATCTGCACATTTTATTTTCGTACAGGAATATTAAAATATATAATTGTTTATTAAAAATACAGAATAACAATAATAAATAGAACTTTCAAGTTTTAAAAAATAAGCCTTTTTTGGTATGAAAATTAGCCTAATTTAACCAGTTCAACGTAATTAACAGATAGCTGGATCTCTCAAGCATTGTCACATATATGAAAAAACATCTGATAAAAAAGAAAATGATAAGGCCCACTTGTGTGATTTTCGTTACTCCTCAATTGTAGTTGACATTTACCCTGGCAAACAGAAAAAATAATAGTCCAGTACTCTAATTTAACCGACTCGATGAAAAAAAAAAAAATCGATAGTCCAGTACTCATGTTATGACGTCAGGGACGTTGCCAAGAAATATTCACCTGCGCCTTCCGCCTCTGGTGTTCTCCTACTTCTCACCACATGCTCTTCTTCCTATTCCCGTATTTACAGGCGACTGATGCGTTAGACGTTCTCCAACAAATTAAATTGTGCACGCAACACCAATATTATACTTCCATCCACTCTCCACTTCAATTCCCTCGCCCCCTCAATCCCCGCCCATGACTATCCCTCCCAAGGACGACCCCGTCCTCACGGACAGCCACCGCGACGAGGACGCCGGCGCTGCTTTCGTCCTTCAGTCTAAAGGTACCGATTACCAAACTCATTACCTGGCCGGCTCTTTTACTGTGAAGCCATTGTTACATGTATTTTTTCCCCTTTATTAATTTCACTGTATACTCTGCACACAGGTCAGTGGTGGCATGCGGGGTTCCATTTGACGACGGCGATCGTCGGACCCGTCATACTCACGCTGCCTTACGCCTTTAGAGGATTGGGATGGGGATTGGGGTTCTTTTGCTTAACGACGATGGGCGTCGTTACCTTTTACTCCTACTTCCTCATGTCCAAGGTGCTCGATCACTGTGAGAAATCCGGCCGCCGTCACATCCGTTTCCGCGAGCTTGCGGCCGACGTCTTGGGTGAATTAATCGATGCGATATCCACTTATTCTTTCTTGTCGTTTTTGAATCTCTCTGTCATTGGCTATTAATGATACTAATTATTATTCATAATTGCACTGCTAATTAATATATACAGTGCCGTGCCCCGCTATCTCCTATAACTAACTATTGAAATGCGTTGTGCGATTTCCTCTAAATAACAGAGGCTGCTACTTTCATTCGTTTTCAACGAAGCGCTCATTAGTTTTTTTTTTTTTTTTTGGGACAGGTTCTGGATGGATGTTCTATTTTGTAATATTTATTCAAACGGCAATCAACACTGGGATTGGTGTGGGGGCAATTTTGCTTGCGGGCCAATGCCTTGAGGTTTGCTTGCTTCTTACTGCTTACTAATGCATACGCGCACATCCTTATCCGTCCATTTTTACTGTTTTAACTTTTAATGGTAATGGTTAAAGGTACGCTAGTATGAAATATCAGCGTTGTTATAATTACAACGATGAAACAATAGATGAGTGGTCTCCTTTCTGTCGTTTTACAGGCAATTCATTATACTTAAAACAATGGAAGTTCCATTCCGCTCAAGTGGGTTAACTTAATTTCTTAATTATATTTGCATTTTCATTCGGCTTCTTATTTGTCCCTTCTCTGGTGATCGTTCCTTGCTCTGTTTCTGACTTTCATCGCTTTCCTCCCTTCTTTTACTCCCCCGTCCATCCCCGTATGTAATAAAATCAGACGTTAAATCTTTTTGAGGCCTGATGGAGTACGAATTTTCATTATAAAATCTCCCTCGCCTGCCATCAACCACTGAACCACCCACTCAAGTTTATGGAATCTGTCCACACAAGTTCTGGTGTCAGTTCTAGTTGCATTTAATAAGTTATCTACTTTTCTTTTATCTACAGCGCACAGTGTATGAATCTTTTTACTTAGCTGTGAGCACTGCTGAGGATCTTTGTGAAGGATAAGATATTAAATTTGATAATTTATTTCAGCATAGAACAAAATATATATGGTAAAAACTTTGAGCTTTGGAATATATGCTATGTCCCACACGCCCGTCTGCAAATTGTTCGCCGGTAGATTATGGCCCATGTAAATAACATCTCTGCCGCTCTAGAAGCCTTCTTTTTGGTTACGATGAATACGGTGTAGTTGCATCTTGGTAAACACTTGTAATTTTTAGATAAGATAACTAAATTTTTAGGCCCTCAAATTTATATGAATTGATTTTTTAAATTTAATTTTTATCAATTTGGTCATGTATCTTTGCTTAATTTATCATGCTTTTTATGCTTTAAAGTACAAATCAACTTTTAAATTAATCTGATATATAAAATACTTTAATGACATGCATGTGTGTGGGGGGGTTAAATGAGCACAAATCAGTTTTTTTTATGTTCTTTTCTCCTTTTTTTATCTAATGCTTCTTATTTTATTTTATTTTTTTGTCACGATATTTTGTTTTTTTTTTCAAAAAATAGTCTATTTTACTTTTTTTCTACCTAAGTAATTAATTTTTTCATTAATCTACATACTTTCCAATCTAACATTCTGTTATCTATGTAAACATATTTTAATGATATTACTTTCTCTTTAAATAATAAAAATTAAATTGATTATTGAAGCAAACTAAACGAATTACATCTGTAAAAATTAAATTTGAATGAATAAATCTATAGTTGTTGAACTATTCAGGATGTTTGAATAATTAACCTTCATTGCTATAATATCATTAAGCTCTTGTCTCTATTGTTCTCTCTCCTATATTTCTCTATTGGTTTACTTGTTTTAATTTACAACATCATTGTCCCTTTTTAAATCAATCTCTCCGTTCTTTTTTTTCTCGGTCAAAATTTATATCTACGTTTTACCAAAAGTACGAATGGCAAAGAAAACGCGATGGACATTCATATCCACATACATCGTGGGGTCACTGTGTACTGTACTGTAGTGCGGAGGACAAATCAGGTGTCAGTCCATAATAAATAAGTAAAGTAATAGCAGTCTGACCTCTTTCATCGGTTCCCCTCCTTTAATTCTGCATATATTTGGTGTCCCTGGCTTTTGAGTCTTGTTTTCTTGTCTCGTGTACAAAAAGTTTGGAAAATTTGTCGTATTTAAAAATGCGTCTGACGAACCTCAATTGGAAACTAACATCACCGAACCGACTGATGAGTGCGAAAGTGCTGAGGAAGAGCCGTGTCTACTGTCTAGCTTTACTCCAAATTGAAGTGCTTAACAGTATAATTAAGGTTATATTTTATTACTATAATAAAATGGTATGAAATTGATTAAAAAAATAAAAATAAAAATAAAATAGTAAAAAATGATAGGTGAACACATTTATAAAGAATAGAGGTAATTTAATTTATAAAATTAAGAATCATGATTCATAAAATTTTAAAAGAGTGTGATGATTCTTTTATTTATAATATATATTAATAAATTTTATTATGTTTATTACTGGGAGAAAAATAATTTAATTTATTTTTATATTATTTTTTTAATTCATTTTATTTTATTTTATTTTAGTAAATAAATATGTGCTAAAGGTTTTGCTTTGAAGTGACTGCGGAAAGAGTGTTCATTAACTGACTGATGCTGCTGCGTTGTGAAAGATCGTGTATTCCAACCTATCGCCGCATGGGTCCCTCAAATTGTACCATTTTATAGCAATGGTGACAGTGGTAATGATAGTTCTCTCTCAGCTTCCAACCTTCCATTCTCTTCGACACATCAACATGTGTTCTCTGCTTCTCAGCCTCGGCTACAGTTTCCTGGTGGCTGCGGCTTGCATTTACGCAGGTAAAAACAAGTGGTCCTATAATGGCTTTTTCCCTCCCAGATAACTGCATTCGACTAGAGTCATATCAATAATAATACAAGTGACTTGTTATCATTTTGCAGGTTTATCAGCAAAGAGCAATTCGACGGACTATTCCCTGGAACCCAGAATGTCTGCGCGGGTTTTTAGTGCCTTCACTTCCATCTCTATAATTGCATCTATATTTGGGAATGGAATACTGCCCGAGATACAAGTAACAGGACAATTCTTTCAAAAGTTGATCAATTAATAATGTCCATAGCACTTGCATTTCAAGCTTAGGCCTGGTGCTCAGGATAGTTGATCTGCATTCTAGCTTGGCAAAGTGTTATGTGTGGTTGACTTTCATTTTTGCGATGATGACATGTTGAATGCAGGCAACTCTAGCACCACCTGCAACTGGAAAGATGGTCAAAGGGCTTTTCATGTGTTATGCTGTGATTTGCGTGACTTTCTACTCTGTTGCAGTGTCTGGATATTGGGTGTTTGGAAACAAGTCCAATTCAAACATTCTTAAGAGTCTGATGCCAGATGAGGGACCTTCTTTAGCTCCAACGTGGGTTCTTGGCCTTGCTGTCATCTTTGTTCTCCTTCAACTCTTCGCAATTGGCCTGGTAAGCTCAGAGAGTTGTAATTTAATTTGTAACGATCGAGCAACGTTAAGAACTGGCATCTGATTGGGCGAGAATATAACGATTGTCCCAAAACACACATGACAGGTTTATTCTCAAGTGGCTTATGAGATAATGGAGAAAAAATCAGCTGATGTGAGGCAGGGGATGTTTTCCAAGAGAAATCTCATCCCTCGCCTAATTCTTCGGACAATTTACATGGTACTATGTGGGTTTGTGGCAGCCATGCTTCCATTTTTCGGGGACATCAATGGTGTGGTTGGTGCTCTTGGTTTCATTCCTCTCGATTTTGTACTTCCTATGCTTCTATACAACATGACGCACAAGCCTCTAAAATCATCCTTCACCTATTGGATCAACATTTCAATCATAATCGTCTTCACAGGTGCAGGAATCATGGGCGCATTCTCTTCCATAAGGAAACTGGTTTTTGATGCCAACCAATTTAAACTCTTTAGCAGTGATGTTGTTGATTAAGCAGATGTGTACATAAATTTTAATACAGCAACCACACCAAATCTGCTTTACATCTCTGGCTTGCCTAGTACATATAGCTCATTCTAGGTTCTGAAACACAAGACAGAGCTGAAAGACAAAGCACCATTGTTGTACGATTAATGCTAGGATCAATAAAGGGAGCCTGCAACTATAGAGTCGTTAATTCTTTAGAAACTTGAGAGAAGGCAGTATCAGTTATTCAGTTATGTGCATTCGATGGAAACTCGAATGTGTTGGTTTTGCATTATATTTTATGTGTGTCGATGTGGTTATAATTTCCTAAGAAATAAAGGAAGATTTTGATTGAGCGAAAGAAATTGGGGCATGAAAGTATTTGAATGGAACAAAAAGTGAAATTGGAACATGAAGACCTTTGATATATATATATATATATATATATGGAAGCGGCTGCGTAACAACTGGTATAATGGTTGCGATGCTTTTGCGAGAAAACGACATTATATAAAGATAAGAACCCAAAGTAAAGCCAGCCATCTGCAATAACGGATCAGATAAATTGAAACAGCCAGCATTAAACACCACAAGAAGGCAGGGACGGACATACATTGAGTATAAAGGGGGCTGCTGCCCCCACTAAAAAATTATTCTTTTAAAGAAAATATAAGTAGTATATGTATCTTATGTTCCCATTTTATAAATATCAATTGCCCTCGGTGATTAATAAATATTAGTCACTTATGTCATTCAATTTTTTTATATTTGTATATTCTTAATTTTCAAGACTCACATAAAAAAGTATTACACATTCAATACTATTTATTTTTATTTTTAGCATTTTTTAATTAAAATTGACTTTTTCTTCCCCTATTTTTTCTACACCCTTCCACTTTCACTCCTCAGCTTCAGCAACAACAACAAAAATCCCTAAATCTCAAAAAGCAGACTCCTTTTTCACCGTGTTATTCGGCTCTTGCTAATGCTACACTGTGATTGCATCTTCGTAAGCCTCCGTGGGTGATTGGGTCTGTGCCAAACTACCTCTTCGGTTCTGCATTCGGCATTTTTTGGTAGAGTACCCTGCACATATTTTTTTATTTTATATTTATTTATTTATGTCATATTGTCATTATAATAATTTATTTTGGTTTGAAATGAAATTCATATTTTTTAGGCTTCTCACAATGGAACAATTTTTCAAAAGAAAAGTAACATCGTCAAAACAACAATCATTTCAAGCTCATGGTGAATGCAGAAATGGAATATTAGATCCAACATTTTTGAAATTTAATTTAGAAAAGCTTCTTAATGATTCCGGATTGAGATAAAAAATGTTTTATTATCATCCAAATGATAGCAAGATCACATAGGAGATGAATTTGAAAATGGAAAAATTATTTAACGTTATCAAAATATGAAACTTTGTAGGGAAAGTTAATCAACAAAAAACCTCAGAGGGAAAACTTATGATGCATACTTATCTTTTTTGTAATATGTTGATCCATTTTTTGTGTGTCTTATGAGTATAAATATATGATGCCCCACCATTAATTTCTGGGTCCAGTCATTGCAAGAAGCTGCTTGCCGTTTTGGGTTGGGTGACTTTCCCTCACCTTCGGCTCTTGAGTTGTCCTTGGCCTTTTGATCTGCCTTTTATTTTTTGGGCAACTGTGAAGTTCTCAAACCCATAGTAAGACCTCATGGCCCAAAAATCCTATGTCCAGTCCTTGTTCGATGTTTTTTTACCTGGATCATTACAGGAGTCCAGTTCTCTTTGATTTGGGTTGTTCCTACATAAGACACTGACGTTTCCATTTTCCTACATAATTTTCTTTTTCCTTTTTCCATTAATTGACTTGTCTGTCCCATTTTGTCGGGTGCTGGAGGTCCTTCATGCTCCAGTGATGTGTTTTCTTCCAAGTCAAACATACTTTCTCCATCTTTATATGAAAAAAAGTCTTTTAAATTTTTGTTATACTTAAATATAAAAAATTGTTAGTATTTTTTTAATAAATATATTATTATATTTTTATTAAATTAAAAAATATAAATATTCTTATTAATTTATTTTTAAAAAATATTTATTTTTTATTTATAATAATTAAGGTTAAAATTGAAATATTATTATACTTTTAATTAAATAATTAATTTTTATTAACCTATGTAATTAAATTAAAATATTTTAGGGAGTATATAGTTTGCACCTTTGCTGCGTCTCCTAAACTAGATGTTTCCAATACATTATTAGGAGGACGGGATTATCACGTTGCACTTTTTAACACGAATTCGCACGTTGGATTACTAGCCTGTTCCTTCCCTCTCTCCCTCTCTCTCCCTCTCTCTCTCTCTCTCTCTCTCAAGAGAGACTTCCAGTTCCAGTTTGGATATCCGAGAGGTGTAATATTTTATTGTATTTTATTCGATTGTAAGGTGCATCCATAATATCGGCTTTGACCAAATCAATTTGAACGTTTCAAAGCTAAGGTGCTAGCTCGTCTTAAAATGAAAAAAAAAAAAAAGAAGTATTCAAACATTTTCCTTGAGCCAAAAATTTAGGTTAAATTTGAAGGGCCAATTTAAATAAGTTTGAAAACAAAATTATTATAGTATATCTAGATGCAGAAAGATTTGGATTTAAATTTCACTCAAATTCACTGTTTAGATAATTAAAAATATATAGATTTGAATTTAGAACCTCAATCTTTTTGTAATTTAAAATTCTTTCTAAACCTTATTATTTTAAATCCTACCTTAATCTATTTATAATTTAAATTTTTTTAAACCTCTATTATTTTATATTTTACTTAAATCTCTTTATAATTTCACTGGCTGTACAACAGTGCCGAACAGGACTAGATTGCTAGCAACAATCAAAACAGGATTGCCGCCACAACTGATCAAGACTGAACTGCTAGTGTCAACTAGGATTAGACAATTAGCTTCCATTGAAATTGGACTGCAAGCATTGTTGGGGCTGGAGTGTACGCTACAACCGAGACCAGACGATGACTAGACCATCCAATCTCGGTTGATGCCAGTAGTCCTATCCTAGTTGGCGCCAGCAGTCCTATTCCGATTGGTGCCAGCAATCTTGTCAATGCCAAGGAACCAATATCGGTCTTTGGTAGACTGGTATCAATCCTTGCTTGCACTCTAGTCCTAACCGATGACAATGATCTTGTATTGGTAAAAGTTGGTCATCCAATCCTAATCAGACCTAAGTGAAATCAAGCTTTAATTACTTTTAAAATGCCAAAAAATTAATACTCTAGCAAAGCATTACCCTCTTTGTCCTCTCTTTGTTTCTAGCTTTCTCTCCCTATTTTAGACCTTCTTTTCGTGTTTAAAAAAAATTGATTCTAAAAATTATGCTACAGCATAAATTTTTATACTACATCACAATGTAGTGGGCCAAAATTCAATTTTTTTTCTTTACAATTTGATCCTAGGAGAACTAATTTACTTTTAAACTCAATCCGAAGGCTAAATCAAAACCCAATAGCTACTATAACTATCCTCAAACTCATTTATACTTAAATTTATATATTTACCCTCTATTAGCTTAATTAATCAAATTATAATTTTTTGGATGTTACACTTCCTAAGAGTGAGAAAGAGTCCTGACGGCAAAACACAATAAGAGCCACAAAAGTACCATAGAGAAAGAAAAAGCAACGTCTAACTAAAACCATAAGATCATATTTTCCAAAGCTTTTGCACAGATGAATGAATGTTAGGAGTGTTAGCGCATCGTTCATGTTAAAAGTTGTTTGTGTGGGTATTAGTAGAGGGAGTCGATTTATGGTGTCAGCTCCTAAGGTCCAAATGCTTGAGGGAATTTGAAAGTTCAACATACAAAAGGCATGACTTCTGACCACCTTAACTTAAATGAATTCGATCAATCTGCAATCACAATTGAGGTCTTTACTTTTTTTAAATTCTTTCGCTGCACCCCTTAATCCTATAAAAACGCACTAGGGATGATTTATAAAAGCCTTGTCCATGCTCAGTCATGGCATTTACAATCTCATTCACACTTGGATGACCTTTAAGTGGAATGGCCATGCTTTAGACCTCAGTCCATGCGCAATCAAGTATATGGTGGTCTAAACCTACCCTTGCCAGGCCCTAATTCAGCTATTACCTAGTTTTCACCTTATTTGGTTCCCTAATATGTTTCCAGGCCTAATTTAAATCCTAATTAATTACCTAAACACTTGATTAATTCTAATCCTCCTTGAATGCACATTTGTTTTCCTAATCAATCCTCAAAATAATACTAATTCACATTTGAATTTCTCAATTAAAACCTCAATTTTTACAAGAAATTCCTATTTAAAAATCATGATGTTACAGTTAGGGTTGGGTTTGTTATATGGGCTTTTTATAATTTTCATTGTTTAAACTTTGATTGCTTCAATGAATTTTTGGAGATTTTGAGGGTTGGGAGTGGGAATGAATGAAAATTTTTTGATTTTCTTAGTTGGCTATGTTTACGGGAGGGGTGAATATGTCACTTTCCAAAAAAATAAAAATGATAGACAAGTCCGTAAATACTAGAAAATAATTATTACATTTTTCAGTACCTATTTATCATTTACATATTTCAAAAGTATTTTATTACCATCCCATTTGTTATGTATAAAAGCTCATAGCAACCAACACTAGATGTCCAAATCTATCAATAATCAAATCAGAGATAATAATGCAAGTGTTTTTAAAATAAAGCTATGAATGGAAATTATAATATATTTAATATATTCTATTAAAATAAATACATGTAATCTATTTAATTTTTTTTGTAAAATTAATTGAAATTGATTTTGTGGACACGCATTTCCAATACCCTTTTTTGTTTAGGAGAATGACAAATAAAGACATTATAAGAACACTACTGCTAAATTAGAAACTTTAATAGTGTAACATGGTAGAAGAAATATTGAAATTTGGAATTGTCAGTGTTGAAAAATTATAATTCGATATTAATATTCTTACAATGTCCTTATTTTTCATTCTCCTATTTTGTTTTGTGAGCAACGTTTCCCATACTCTAAGCAATGCTGAACCTACCCACTTGAACATTGAAGATTTGTGAAATCGGTCGTCAGATGTGCAAATCCATAGTTTTAACTTTTTGGTTATCTAACATTAATGGCGATGCTGCATCATCAGAGATTATAAGAAAAATTAGATTAAATAATTTTTTTAAATATCTTGGTTATCATCCTAGCACAGTGGCAAAAATTATAAGAATATTTGAAAGACTCAACCTTTATTGAAAAGAGAAATTACCTGAAGTTAACATCTATTTAGATTCGATAGAGGCATTGTCACTCATTGGCTACAATTACACAGAAAGTCATCCTTATTTGAACTGTCAAGAAAATCAAAATTTTATTGTGAGGGATTGAATGGTCACATTTGATCATGTTTATAGAGAAATAAATAAATTGATCCCTTGACCCACCAGAAATCACATGACAGCTTTAATGTTACAATCTTCGATGAACCCCTGCATGACTGCAGTAGCATCTTAGTTTTAGACATGACTAGATCCTAGTCTTTCTATATTGTTTGTTGTAACCATGTATTCAAAAAAAAAAAAAACAAAGGGATACTTTTTGGCTATCACAAAGCAGGTGAATCCATGACCTTTAGTTAGGGCGTTTGGACTATTATTATATTTTGTATTTATTTCTATTTTGTCGGCAAAATATTTGAGATGTTTTGTAATAAAAATTTAATATTAACCATGATATTGAAATATGTATTATTCTATCTCTCTCTCTCACTTAAAAAAAAAATACTACCACAAATCTACAATACAGGAAAATTCATAAACTTAATATTATTGTGAGATATATATATATATATATATATAAAAGAAAGCTACTTATTCGGAAGTGAGTCGTACAATAATTTTTAAAACACAATAAATATATGCACGCACGCGCGCACACACACTTTGTTAATAGTTTTTTTGTTTTTTTTTTTAAGGAATCAAATACATGCCCATACATACGCAATCTATTCATTTTCTCTAAAGGAGTGGGAGAAGGTTCTATGCTTTCTCTTTCGTATTACCTTGTCTCTCTTTTTTTTTCTAATTATTAGATTAGGATTTGAAGGTAAATAATCAAATTCAAACTGTTAATTTAAAACTGGGGTGGAAGCAAAATTAAATTAAAAAAATATTTGACGAGAGTTCAAATATAAATCATTCAAATATTAATCTTATGGTTAGAGAATGAAGAAAAGGGAAAAAAGATGAGAAAAGAAAATGAGTTAATTTTAATCCCCATCTAAAGAGTAACACATGGTCACCACACTCACACTCCACCCCTGTATCATGAGATTTATTAGAATCCACAACCTCTCAGTTTTAAAGGGTGTGCAGGGTCATTTAGCTAGGAAATTTGAGGCATAATTTTTTAATGCTTCGTCGGAACATACATCTTTTTACACTTTAGTGCCTATCACACAGATAATTTTTATAAAAATAAATAAATAAATAAATAAAATATATATATATATATATATAAAACAAATAATCCTCTAAACTTTCATAACGTGCGATTTAATTAATTGACATCCCGCGTTTTAACAATGAAACGGTGACGCGTGACGTGAAACGATTCAAGGGTATGCGCATGGCCACTCTCACCTGGCATTTACTTTAATAATAAAAATAAATAAAACTCAGACTACGATTCAAGGGGCCACTCTTTTTCCACGTCCTCCAGCGGCCCACTTCAAGCGTTAATTTGTAAATTTTTATATTTCAGCAATAATTTATTACTCCTCTAATTTCATTTATAAAAGAGAGAGAGAAAAGAACATGATCATATTTATAAAAAACTTATTAATTTTTAATACTTTTTTTTATATTTTTATTCTTATTAAATATTTTGAATTAAAATATGAAATTTAAAAAGATTTATTGAGGTAAAGATGAAAACTTATTAAATTTTAAAATAAATTTAATAAAATTTAATATTTTTTTATTCTGATGAAACAAGCTGAAATAATTTATAAATATATTCTAATTATCATTATTAATTTATGACGCACATATGTTGAGTTGGCACTTTAAGCTGTGTGTCAATAAAGAATTGACCGAAAGAGAAGGAAGAGAAGAGATACATGGAAGCGTTGTGTGTTAGTGGAGAGAGAAGGATTAACGGTGCAATATAAGTAGGCCGTGAAACCAATCAGCCTTTTGATCACTTTCAGGTCCCAAAGTCATAACCGACGCGCGTTCGCTTCCTTCACCAAACGGGCAACCACTTCATAAAGGCAAACCCGACCTCCTCTGTCTTAATTCTCCTCTTCTTCCTCTGCCTTACCCTACTTTCTGGGTCGTTCATGGAGAATCAGAATCCTTCATCAAAGCCGCCTAAGGCCACCCCTTGGGACTGTGGCAGCACACTCTATGACTCCTTCGAGCTCAACTCCTTCAAGCGCCAACTCGACTCTGCTATCGCCAATTCCGCCAGAAGTCTCTCCATGCCTCACATCTCCGACCGCCGACTTCCGCCCCCTCCTCCTCTTCCGCCGACCATGTCCAAAAAGCCCTTCAAAATCTCTCGCTCCCTCCATAAATTCCTTCGCTCCGTTTTCAAGCTCAACCATAATCATAACCATAATCTTCATAAATCTTCATCCGTTAATTCTTCTAGTAGTAGTTTCGAGGTGCCGCAGAAATCCAGAGAGCGTTTCTTTGTAGTTTACGACAAGTCAGTGCCCGTGCTCTCCTCCATCCCGGAGCTGCCGGAGTTCGAGATCCCTAAGGTTTCGCCGGATATCACTTCTCTGGTCAAAAGGTCAGCTTCGGATCGCTTCACGCCCACGACAATCGGTATTTCCTGTGCCTGATAACTGACCCAGCTGGTTTTTAGGCAGCATGATCGTATATTACTTTATAGGTTTATTAGTATCATGGTGATAATAACGTAGCATGTGTGAATAACGTGTGCTAGATTTCTGGATTATTCTGTTGTTTTCGTGATCCGGGATGTGTTATTTTTGTCTTTTCCTTTGTTTTATACTTATCTGGAAGATGAGACGCTGCTGGTTTGACCATTATGTGATATTAGGTATAGTTTATGAAATAATAGGGAAAGTTTGCTTGACTTTTTCGTCAGGCAATATATGGAAACCCCGGCAATCACAGCTTAAATCCAACTATCTTGGACGTGATCCTCTCTCAATCTTATCAGCTTTTTTTGTTTGTTTATTAGTCGATTTCTTAATAAATAAAAACGTATTGTTCCTGTCCTTTTTTTTTTTTAAAAAAAAAAGTCTATTGTAACTTACCACCTAATATAAGTTGAAAAACTGAAGAAATTATTATATATTACTCTTTTTTCTCTTCTCGTTTTTTTTGGTGATGGAAGAAAACATGGCTTTTGAGAGGGAAGAGCTTCGTTGCTCTCACATCCAAGGGTTTTGTTTTGGTTTTTTTACCATTTTTGGTCAAACAAGTTATCAATACTATGTGAGGTTTGACTATTTTGAAATGAGATTTTCCGCTTTGTTTTATTTTTTCTCTCGAATAATTGTTATTATTATTTTTCTTTTGTGTACATTGAAAATTTATAGTGCATTATATTTTATCCTGAAAATTTTTACGTTTGAAACTATAGATGCTCTAAAACTCTAATATAATCTGATTTCTGCTGATAAAATACTTCTAATTTAGTCCTTGTCCCGGAAAAATTAGCTATGCTTTTGGCGTTTCTTTTTTAAGTTGGCCGCTGATAAATGAGTGTCCATCCATTTAACTAATCGTAGATAAGATCACAGTCAACAACGTTCTACAATCCATGATCTAGCTATATATAGTGAATGAAATTAACGGGTGCATTAATACCAAGAAATGTGTTATATGTTTTACTATAACACGTTGATGAAAGATCACCAACAACAAAAATTAACAATCTTTATTGTGATAAAAAAAAAATTGAAAGATGCTCACGTATGAATGCTAAAATTGAGATCATGTAATTCTAGAAAAGGACAATAAAATGAGAAATTCTTTCATCTTAAGATCGAACTGACAAGGGAGAAATAAATTAAAATGTATTACACGCATATGGAAAACCGAAATTAAATTTATCACAATAAATTCCCTTTCAGCGTATGCTTGGAATTTTACAGAAGTTGGCTTGAATCACAATTCCTGAAACAATAAATTAATTGTTTTTGTTTTCCATATATTTTGGCCAATATTTTCTGTTGTGTGTGTGCATAAATATACGAATACATATCGCTAATAAATGAAATGCAACACCGGAAAACTCATACGGCCCTGATTATCATCCTATTTTCCATTTTTAAATGCCTTTTATACGTGCTCCAATAATGGAGGATAGTTTCTTTTTCTTTTTATTTCATCACTCGCGGTGTCCTGAAAACTTGAAATTATTACCATTGCTTTAGTATAATGGAGGATAATTTCACCATATTCATATATCTACAAATTAAGAAAATTTATATAAAATGTTGGAGTTTTTTTTTATTAGTTTTGTTCTGGTGTAAGGGTAATATGTAAAAATGGAAAGATATTGTTTAAAAAAAAATTCTTACCTTTTGAATCAACAATAACTTGTAGATGTCTTACATTATGCTCAAAAGAAGTACTTGCTCCTTAAATGGTGTTTAAATATATCAAGAGATTAGTCTTATGGTTGTTAATTATGGGATACCTTGGACCCAAAAAACAAAAAACAAAAAACTTACTCACTCACGTGTGTTTTTTCCCCCCGCCCTGGTACCTTTTTATAAGCAACGTACTAAGAAAATTATAATGCTTAGTAAAATATTTATTATCTTCTTTGATCCTAAATATAATATCCTTTTCCCATTTCCTTTGTCCTAAAAATAGTACCTTCTACAAAGCAAAATGCAAAATTTATTACCATTACCATGCACGTAACCTTATTCAATTAATGTCATAGAATGTAAGAAAACAGTATACTGTACATATTATCTTACTCTTTCCAGTAAAATTGAATATGGATATATAGGATGAATGGCATCGTTTGTGGAAAGATTAAGATTGCTAACTATTAAAAGCCCATTAAAAATACGAGAAATGTAATAATTTTCATTATTTTTATTTCAATACATGGGTTTAAACGAGGACAAAGTGATGATTAAACCATCCTTATTTAATTTTAATGATAGAAGGGTCCGGAAGAGATATCTATTTTATTGTAAAAGAAAGAGAAAAATAAGAGGAGAAAGAGGGGCATTGATTTTGTTAATACTCTCTCATTCTTATTTTTTTTTTCGTTTTAGGCCTTTAGCAAAATTCGTTGTCACGTTTTAGATGTCATTTTATGATATCAATGGATAATCATTACTAGGGTATTTTTCTAATTTAGTCCTAACAAGTAATTATAGCTTTTTTAGGGAAAAAATAAGTCTTTGAACTAATTTTAATCGATTTTTTTTTAATTCAACAAAGGTCTTATAAAAAAAAAGGAAGGAGTAATTTTTTCTGGCTAAAAGCAATACTACGCGTTCAATCATTATATCAGAATCTTAAATGACACTTTAAATGACATGACATAATATAGATAATAAAAGGCATGGGGCCATGAAGATGGGTCCACCAACACAATATAACGTTGGCTACAATGTGACCCACAAAACTATGCTTAGGGATTATGCATGGGAGTTTAATGTTGTGGGTCCAGGAACAATCGTCTTCACTGGGCCACATAGCTGATGACTTAAAAGAGTGATGCTCCTTCTCATCTACTTTCTTAATCGGCAGGGCACTTCATTAATATTCAATGCTCCTTCCAATTCACTCATTCTTGATCATCACCACCATTCTCTTCTCACTCTATGGGATTCTAACATTTTGTGGCTTTTGAAAATGTTTTGATGATTTTTCTTACCAGGAGTTGTCAATTGGTGTTTATTTTTTAGAATTGATGTTGTAAAGAAATTAAAATAAAAAATAGACACACTATTTTTAAGATATTTATAAATTTTAAATATATACTCTCTAATCCCTCCGCTAAAAAATATAAAATATTTTTAATCGAATCTCACTCTCAATAAAATAAATGCTTACTTTTAAGTTAATATTATCTTTTTATATCTATCCCTATTAAATATTATACAATAAATATAAAGTCATTATCAATAAAAGTATTTAAAAAAATATAATGATTACATTTTGAAAGGTTAAAAATATTTATATTTTTTAATATTTAATTCTTTAAAAAATATTTTTCAACAGATGGAATATAACTGGATATAAATATGTTATTTTCTTGCCAAAAAATTTATAAAAACCTTAAACCTGCAATACAATTTTTTTAAAAAAAAAAAATTTGCACTTTGAGTGGTGAAGTACCGTGGTACGATCGATTTTAAAAACTTTTTTGGTCCCATCCAACCTCATTGAACAAGAGCCACACTAGATCCTTATCATTTAAGCACTGACACACACACACACACACACACACACACACGAGAAATTAATAATGGCGGCAAATCTGTAAGTACCATAACATTTGAAAATAAAATAAGCAAAATATACAGGGTTTTTAATGAAAAATCGCATGGAGATCGGGACTTGATGATTATTGTTGTTCTGATGTTTTCCACGGGAAGAGGATTATTTGAAGACTTGATTTCAGTTTCATTCCATTTCGATCGAATTTCTGTGTGTGACTGCGCGTAAACCAGCATGCACTTTTATTTTATTTTCTCTTAATTTATGTGCAAGGTTTAATTTAAAAAATTATCCTCACCTCACAACCTCAGATTCTGATATTGCCCTCAATTCCTACTTAATGCTAGGTAATATATATATATATATATATAGCAGCATGCATAGGATATTAGATTTTGGCTTCCATTTCGTTTTGCTCATTGTCATTGATTTCCCAATTCCAAGTTATAAATGTATAATTATCAAAGAATGATTCTTTAGCAAGAGAACTTCCCTTGTATCCCTTTAATTATTCCTTTGGACAAGTCCCTCTTATCCCTGTTTATAAGATTTTTGTAAGGTATTAATCACTTTTTTTTAATATTATCCTATTTAAATTCATTAAATGCAAGAGAGAATCTAATATAAATTTGAAAAAATTTTATTTAAATATAGTTAAAATTAGAAATTTATTCTACTTTTAGATAAAATTAATAGCTTAACTATGTCTCCTTAATTACAGTGAAATAATTAAATGCGTGTCTTGTAATGAAGATAGGAGAGAGCATATTAAATTGTTACTCTCTTGCTTAAAAAAATATAAGAAATTTTTTCAAATGTAATATATACTCTTTTTGTTAAAAAATGTAAAATATTTTTAATTGAATTTTACATCCAACTATATAGTTACTTGTTTTGAAACTAACAACGTCTTTTCATATTTATCTCTATTTAATATGGTGTTTCACTCTAAAATAAATATAAAGTAATTTATTCATTAATGGTATTTTTTTTAAAAAATAATGATTATACTTTAAAATACTAAAAATATTTTATATTTTTTAATATACAATTCTCAAAAAATATTTTATATTTTTAAACAAAAGCAGTGTGTGTGTATATATATAATATAAGGCATTTTGAGTCTTTTAACATTTAATAAATGATGCTTTTTCAAAAATATTTTTAATTAAGGGTGTAATTAATAATATTTTTTAATTGAGACAGTCTATAACTGGTGTATAATTCAGTTAATATTCAATGGAGGGGGTATCATTTTGATACTTCGATCAATTCAATGTAATTTCTGTTAGTAATTTATATAATGACATGACCAATTGAACAACCATGCATGATTTCCTTTTCCCTTTCAAGTCCCTTGCATCAATTATGCGAAAAAAAAACCTCCAACGTGGCAGCCCTCAGAGCAGAAATTTCCTTCAGGCCTCTTTCATGGCGAGCTCAATTTTCCCGTGACAAACTGATCCTTTACTGCATTGCATTTATGCTGCTTGCCTGACCACATTTAATAGTTTCTTGCTTCCACCATCACCCACTTAATTACTTGCCTCCTCACTCCCTCCATTTTATATTTTCAAATTCAAGCTCCTCCTGCAAAAACCAGTTCTAATTGTTGGAATGATTTTATAAATTATTAACTGCATTGACATCAATGGATCAAAAGGAACAATTATAGATTAATCATTTGTTAATTAGAAGCTGTTGCCAATCTTGTAATTTAAAAAAAATTATTCATATTTACAAGTCACTTCTAACAATTTTTTATTAGAATTAAAGAAAAATGTTAAAATTCATGTTTAAGGTTGTTTTAAAAAACCAAGGTTCATTTAATAATAAATAAAAATATGATAAGTTTTAAGTAAAAATAATAAATAAATATAATCTCAATACATTATAGAAGTTTAAGTTACAATCTCCACACAGTCCAGTAGGCACATGTATGTCATGCTTGCTTGAGGCTATTCTTGAGTCCTAGCTATCAGATATTGCCGTTCAAGCCGAATCTACCTTTGTTGATAAAAAGTTGTACTGACTATGCTTCTATTTGTAATAACCAAAAAAAAAAAAAACGTTGCCGTTCAACAAGAAAATTTTTGTTTTGATTTTTCACAGGTATTCTCTACTATTAAGCATTAAATATGTACACTTTTTTTTTATTAAAAATGTAAATTTTAATTCATTATATTCACTAGATTCAACCTCTATTAGTCAAATTCTCTTTTGACAAAGGAAAAAAAGAGAGCAGATCTTGATGCTTAAGACGATACAGGCTACATACCCCATAGTTTGAGCCCATATCAAGAAGGGGCTACGTAAGTGCCCACGTTGAGGGCAATAAGATGAAGTGGCCCATATAAGTGCTTGATCCATGAGCCCAGAAGATCTGAAGTCTCAAAAAAGTCAACTAACAATTAACTAAACAAGAGTAAACAACAAACCAAAAAAAACAAAAAAACAAAAAAATCCAAATTGACGGATTGCTATCTTTCTTTCTTTCTTCTTTTTTCGGCCGGAGATATTGAGATATACATGAATCTGATAGAACCGAAAACGGACGGCCTGAAACGGGCAAAAAAGTTTCCCCAGATAGTCGGATCACCGTTGACTTGCCACTGCCTATGGATCCGTGATAATTGCTTGCCAGTTATTCGCTCCTTCCTTGATTTCTTACTTTGGCTTCTTGTGCTTCCTTACTAACTACAAATCTGCCACAAACCTTACCCCTTCGCTCGGTTTCTACTTCCTGCTTTCCTTTGCTGCTTGGGCCTACGATTACGAGTGAGTTTTACAAACTTTTCCTTTTTTGTCCTTTCCTGTTCAGGCCAGCAACTTAGCCGTTCCTGCATTACTGCATTTATTGGTTTTTTCAAGAAGGAGAATGATTATTTATACCGGCATTTATTCGTCACAGTTACAGATAGTTTATGCTACAATCTCCAACGGAAAACATTGATATATAATGAGAACGAGTTCAGATGCACTCGGGTGCTTTAATTTGTTATGGAGAGTTGAGATTAGAATAAGTTGCAGGGTGCTTCTAATGCGTTTGCTTCCTGGCAAACAACAGCCTCAGTACGAAGAATAACCTTGGACTGTTTTAGGATCGTCGGGGGAAAACACGTACGGACGAGCGAGGAGCTAGTTTAGCATTTTCCTGGGTAATGCGCTAGGTTGTCAGTAAATTGTTGTAAGCATTATATTATTCTTTTGCTTAATTCGTGTCTAATGTACTGTTTCCTTTGCAGCATCCCATATTTCAGATCCTTTTTTTCACCTCCTGTTCTGGTCCTCATTAGATCAATTTAAACTTATATTTTTTGTTATTTGTTGGAGAGTTAAACCACTGACGGGTTTTAAACCAATTAATGATAAATAATATCCATATATTCTGAGAGAATAATCTTCATCTTGCGCCAACCTCTGATTTCTTTCACGGTGATCTTTGCACTCGTTTCTTGTTCGGTTGGCACTACTGCAGTGCTTTTAGCCGATGAGAATCCTTCTTCAATTATTTGTTGACATATACAAACACTCCCAATTATTGGCTGGGATATTCGCTGCAAACCTTTATTCTAAGAAAATTCCTTCAGCTTTTGGATAGCATTTTTTTTTGTTATTCTTCTTACCGTTCTGCAAAATGGAAAATGGATTTGAATGTTTTTTTTTTTTTTTGGCCGAAAGGGTTGGATGTTGAATTTGAAGCAAATCATACATAACCTTGCAGGAATGAAGTCTTGTGATATCATAGGCAGCACATTCGATTTTGGTGTGCGTTTTTCTTGTGTTGTCTAAGACTTTTTTTTAAGTTCATTTTTCTTGGGCTGATGTATTATGCTACAGTTAATAATTCCATGAGTGGTGACTGCCTGCTGGAATCCTCTGCTAAACGTATCCCAATGGAAATTTCGGACCTTCTATGATTCATCTGTTTGAAAGTGAATACTACTAATGCTGCAAAAATAATTGCAATCTCAACTACAGTGAAATTTCTTATTGCTATCATTGCTGCTCCATTGTTTTGTGATCTACAGCTTTCCTATCTAAGAGTTCGTGGTATGGTTAACAGGCGTGATTGATCAGTTCTTGCAGCAAATATTGAAAATTATTCGTATGGTACATCTCTAATGCTCAAAATTATGGGAAAAGCCCAGGCGTGTCAAAGGGGAAATTTGGATCAATTTCCGCTGGATCAATAGGGAAATTAAAATCAAGAATTGGAGAATTGCTGGCTGATGTGTTGGCTGAAATGATCTCAGTAATGTCAGATTCCGAGCATGGCTGGTGTTTGATGCCATGGAACTCATCCATCTTGAAAGACAGAGATGGTAAATAGTATGATTGTGGCGTGTTTGGGGACAGCATGTCTGTTTGTGAAAGGTTCCCCCAGAAGGAATCATTCTCTAGTGCCAAGGGAGGTAAATTGTGGCTTTCTGGTGTGATGTATCCAGAGGAAGTTGAAAGGAAAGTAAACGGATTTGCCATCTCGTCGTGTTGAAGGTTACCTGTACTGACACTCAAGTTATTTCTAAATTTCACTAGGCTCTCTTGTAATGGCTCGTGATGGCGGATATCACTTTCATAATTATTTAGTTTCTCCTGTTTGTCTGGGGACTTAGGTGGTTGAACAGAATTATTTCCCAGGGAACAAGTATGCCTTCCTCGGTAAGTGATGTCAAATACAGTAGGGTCTTCATCTGATCTTTGTATTTGCTTCGTGGCCCAGCAGTTCTGAGTCTTGCGGAAAGTGCACCTATAGTAACTCCTGCAATATGTAACAGTGTTTTGTTAGATGCCTGCATGGGTTGGGGACAATGCTAATAGCATAGTATACTGGGATTTCTTGTCCTCTGACCTAGGATATTTGGCACCTAGGATGTCTTTCTGTCCATATTTTCTCCAGCTGAAGCCATCATCATGGGGTCCTTCAAGGGCAGTCTCTGAGCTAGATCTTACTTGTTCCATCCATGTGGGCATCATCTTTCTGAAAACCAAATTGCTAGAGGCGTCAGGATAATCACGCACAACAAATGTTACATGTATTCTATAATGTCTGCATAGTAAAATTCACCTTTTCTTGGAGTCTAATTTAAATTCAGGGTGATCTTTGATGTCTCCGTCAATGTCATCTCTCAAAGGGCTTACGTTGGCACACATTGGAGACTCCGGCGGCAAACCAGAAACTCCCTCTATGGGAAGAGGATCGGTATTTGATGCATTCCATTTCAGAATTAGTAGAGCCTTTTCATAAGATGATAATATCCTCTGTACCAGCAAATCCCTGGTCTCTACTGAAGATTCTGTCCTAAAATCTGCGCTCAACTTCCTCGCTGCCTCCATTCCTTGAAGCAGCTCATTCATGAGTATGCTTGGCTCCCACCTCATTTTATCCTCCATTTTTGTACAATCTCGTTAGAGTAATGACCTTGTCTTCGAGAAATATGGTGCTTTATATCTAGTTCATGTCAGAGAGCGCCGCTTCTACTCTCTGGGAATGCACTTTTAGCTAGAACCAGCGGCTTCTTCTTCTGCAGTGGATCTGGAACTCGAAACGAGGGAAATATGGAAGAACCGTTGAATGGTAAAGTAGGAGCTATAAACATGGAAGTAGCCAGAAGGGTTTTGAAATTAGATTGATTTGTTCTTGAATGGTTTGAGGGTAGAGCAGAGAGAGAGGAGTGTGGAAGTAAGGTTGATGGAGCGAAGGCTTGATGCTTACAGAATGAATTGAAGGTCTCGTATTTAAATGGAGTTCGTTTGAGTTGCAAAGAAGACACGTAGGAAGGAAGATCTGGGTTGGAAAGTCCAAGTTTGACCGAGAAAGCGAGTTATTCAGCGAAGACTGGTCTCGGTCAGTGGCCCAAAAAGTGCTGACCAAGTCCACTTCAGCTCGGCAAGTTTTAAAAAGATCTACAGTTTTGCCAACGATTGGTTCCTTTTTATTACAAGTCATGATTGAAGTGAAAATTGGGAGTCATAGTTGGAACGAAGGTGGATGTAGAATTTTCAAACCCATTCCGCGTTGTCTCTTTGATCCTTTGGATTCACTAAACGTGAGCAGTTCTGTATGTAAAAATATTAATATTTCTGACGTGTGCTTGTGCTTGTTGACATCAAAGATCAAACCCATTTGCTACTCAACGTCCATCACTCTTCTTCCAAGCCATGTATGATAATCAGATAGACTATCTCTGCCCGCCAAGCACACAGTTAATAACGTGTACTTCGCACAAAACCATCACATTTCAAACTATAATATTACAGATGATGAGTTTTGTTCACTCAAAAATATATTAAAAAAAAATGGAAATTAGGACATAACTATACTGTTATGAAGGCCACTTGGAAAAACCCATCAGCATCAGCATCATCCCTGGCTGTGGCATGCATCCTCGCAAAGAGATTATGATTGAATGCAAGAAAACTGGATCAGGTAGAAAAATCTCAAGGATGAATAGTTTATTTTACAGTATGTGATGGGGAGATAAGCTAAGCGTATAGCTAGCTAGTATCTGGTTGCAAGATTCTTTATTTCTGTTTATTTCCATTCCTTTCGCACCTTGGTGTTGACTTCCCAGGTTGAGCTATCCTTATAGTGGTGTCCGGCTACCGGTCCCGCATGAGACGACGATAAAAATAAGGAGGTTTCGGGAGTGAGGTGGTTTTTCATTAACTTGACGCTGCTTCAGACGCAGAGTGAGTATATTAGGAGATCCTATGTGGATTAAGGAATTAAGGAAAACGTTTAAAAAAAAAAAAAACATCACGGCTCAAGGATCAAGCATACCACTTCAATAATATGGCTGATAAGTGGATGATACAAGACAAATTCAGTGCTGCTTAACATTCCTGAGGCTGATCATGGAGAAATTGAATACGGAAACCAGGAAATTGTGCGAGAAATGGGCTAGCCCAATTTGTCGCCATTCCCCACCCTGTCTTTTAGTGAAGCCCCGAAGCTTGTTTGTTTTCTTCAGAGTCGGACCATCCATGAATGAAGGTCATTGTTCATTCAGATTTCAGAATAATGCCAGAAAACGATTCAGAAATCTAACTAAAGGGTTGAAAGTTGAAACCCAGGAAAGCAGGAGCGTCTTAACTCTTAATGTTTATTAATCTCTCCACTAAAAAATATAAAACATTTTTTGATAAATAAATTAAATGTTAAAAAATATAAGATATTTTAAGTTTTTTTAAAGTGTAATCATTATTTTTTTTAAAGTGCACCAATTGAATATATTATTTTATTTTTTTAAGGTGAAACACCCTATTAAATAGAGATAGATATGACAAGATATTATTAGTGTAAAAATAAATAAATACTTTATTGAGTGAAATTTAATTAAAAATACCATATATTTTTTAACGAGGAAATACTTTTTATTTAAAGAGAAGAAAACAAAAGAACTTGTGCCTGAGTTCGTCACTTGAGCTGTGCCACTTTGGCTAGTTAGATGCATTGATTTCTTGTATCCATATGCAAAAGGATCAAAGCAGCTATTCGACTCATCCCAGGTAGTGTTGTCCCACTTGTTTTTATAGAGTAACAAACTTATTAAAGGAAGGAAGGACACAAGGAGAAAAGAGCAGCTGCTTATGAATTAATTATGTCACAACGCATTTATTCCTAGGCTTACGCGAACTTGTGCGCCTAGAAAAAGAATGCAATATTAAGAAGAGATATAATGAAGTAACCAAAACAAAATCATATACAAAATTAATGCCATATATAGAAATAAAATAATTAAAAAAACAGAAAAAACTTCTCAGCAGAGAGAGCCAGGTAGAATCATGAGTCGTCACTGGGGGTTTTAGACACATGTTGAATTGTTCTGCTTGTAGCAGAGAAGGCTTCACTGTGTTTCATTATCCAGAATCTTTCTATCTCTTCTGCTTTACGACCAGGAACGCGTCCCGCTATCAAATCCCACCTGTTCCACTCACATTATGATCTCTAACACTTAGTTTAGCAAGTAATTAAAACTCAAAATTATATTCAAGAACTTTTACCGCCTCTTCTTACTAAATTTGCTTGTCCGCATCTCACTGAATCTCTTTGTTATTTTTATTAGAACAAGACAAAATTGCGCGTGGATGACATACTTTCATAAAAAAATTAATCTTTTGATCATTCAACTTTTAACTTACTTATAACTCAGTCTCTTAACTATCACTCGTTGTGACTCAGTCTCTTAACTATAACTCACTGCAATTCAGTCCTTCAACTTTTAATTCACCTATAACTCAATCCTTATTTTTTAATCTTTTTAAAAAATTTTTATCAAATAAGAGGGATAAAAAATACTTATATATTATTTTAAAATATTCTCCCCTTGTTCATTGATGTGAGATGCTAACATGAAAAAAAAATTAACAAAAATTTAGGGATTAATTTGTAAGTGATTTAAAAGTTGAGGGACTGAGTTATAGGCGAGTCATAGTTGAAGGACTGAGTTACAGCGAGTTATAATTGAGGGACTGAATTACAAGTGAATTAAAAGTTGAAAGATAAAAAGATTAGTTTTTTCTATTTTCATCTAAAGATCATGAAACCAGACCCAACACAAGCACCACCGTATATATCAACCCTTTTCCAATCTAAACTATCTGTTCACCACACATTTTATTCATCATAACTAGTTCAACCGCAATAAACGCAAAAGATCATATTGCATAATTTTGAAGAAAAAGAAATGGGGATATCATTACTCAAAAAAAAAAAAAAAGAAACTACAGCACTATCTTGGCTGTGATCATGCCTATTGCATATGATTACTTCAAAAAGTTGCATATATTGTTCAGCGCATACATAGTTTTGTGTTTGCCTCCGGTATAGTTTATAAAATACATGTGCAGGATAAGAATCCTCGGACCTAGAGAATATTCGTGAAGAAAATACACGAACCTCAAAAAATACAGGATTAAATGAAAATTATTGAGGAGCCTATTATTATGTCTAGAGTGCTTACTTGATAAGATTAATATTGTCCATAAATCAAGGATAAGGCTGTGAAGTCAACCTGGTCCGATTTTATCGCCTAGGTAACGAGTTGTTATATGTCATATAGTAAACTTCTACAACCATGTGACGTAACTCTAGTTAACTGTTTCCCCAAACTATTCACGAATTAATATTGCTTTTTTATGCCCCAGAGGCCTATATATATGTAATATTTAAAGGTGAAAATTACTGTGGGTGATAATTGAGGAATTGTTGATCGAGAAATATCAAAACACGAAGGGATCAATTATTGAAGATGGGTAGGTTAGCCGCCCTAACCTAACAGCAAGCGAACATGTATGTCCCGGATTTCCTGTGTGATTCGAGAGAAACCAACGGCAACAAGAAAATGATGATGGTGTTATATATATATATATATATATATGACGTGTGTGTGTGTGTGTATGGGAATTAGTGGGGCTAAATTTGGTAACTGTTTAATTAGCCTTACAAGTACTGGAAACTTAATCTGGTAACTATGTGATGAGTTGCAATAATTAAAAAGTCGAAGCGATTGAAGCCTGTGAATTGAGAGATGAGCATATAGTTACGGAACTTAATTAACCGGAACGCAGCGACGAACAAGAAGAACCGAAGCTGAGAAAATATGCGATACATACAGACCTGTCGCCGACGAGCCTGTACATCCTGTAGATGAGATCCTCCTCTTGCTCACTCATCTTTATGAACTCCCACTCAATACTGCTCACTTCTGCGTCCATCGTTAAACAACTCTCAATTAATGCCCCTTCTCAATCAATGCGTTGCAAATAACCTAATCGACAAATTAATATGAAATTTAAAGAATAATAAGGCGCAAGGGAACAATAACTATGGCATGCTTTGCCAAGATATTAATGAAGAACCTTCTGAGTTTGACTGTTTTGGGTGATGATCATCCATTAACCAGCCTTTGATGCACTATTGAGTTATTGACAGAGAGGTGGGATGAACGAACTTGAGAGAAAAGTTGATCTGATCTGAGCCTGGTTGAGTCACAGTAAGGCAGTTTCCCCGTTCCCTACTTTAAGATTTAACAATAAAAGGAAGACCCAGACAACTGATCTCGAGTGCGCTGCGCTCTAGCTTGCTGTGTGTGCGCGCATGCGCGCATGAATCTCTTCCATTCACTTAAATCATTGCAATAATTGTCTGTGGTGAAACGCAATAGCTACAAGACAGATCCAGCAGAGATTGAGAATCCTGATTTGCTGGAGAGGACACAGATCAGGGATTAACAGTAAATATCTTAGATTTATCTCTCAGGCTTTTTGTTTTTTTGTTTTTTTTTTGTTTTTCTCACGTGGCAGAGGTTTGAAGGAGGAGCCCCCACACACCAATTGAACGACTGGTTGAGGTTGACTAGTAGATCTCTTTCATTGTAATGCGTTTAATTAATAATGTGCAGTTCGTTAATATATCAGTCTCATTGCAAATAGTACGATCTCAACAATTAATTAAATATGCGACGACCATAACCAAGTCTAAGTCTCATTCAACAATTAATTAAATTGAGCAATGCTAAATAGTAGCCCGTGTGTGTGTGAAAAATAACTCGTATTATTATTAATTTGGTTGAAATTAAAATCAATGGCCATGAGCACCAGCATCTTTTTAAAGAAGGAACTATCCTTATTAATTTCATCATTATATGCTACTACCTCCGCTTCTATTTATTTGTTGTGAATTTTTTATTAATTTTAATAGAGAGAAAAGAAGATAAGATTAATTAGTCAAAAAAAGACGATAGCTACGTAGAAAAAGATACAATAAAAAAGAGATATAAATATTATTAAATTTATAGCTGGAGAAAAAAGTTAATTAGGCCTTGAAATTTTAAAACAAAAAAAATCAAATAATAAGTCTAATGGATATATAATGGAGAGATTATTATGACTATTACTATTTTATATTAATTAATAGCACCGGAAGGAGTTTTGTTGATTTTCATTAGAGTGCCTTCTAGAAAGCCTATTAGCTTTTGAGTCAGTTCCAGCGTGCATGAGCATACCCAGGAACTGCCCAATTTGGTACACATCATTTTCATTCCTGGAGGTAAAATTGCTAATTCAATATAGAAACTTGAACTATGTAATCAACAAAGCCACAATTCTACTATATTCTAATACTCGGTTCTTTTTCTGGGTCAAAAGAAGCTCCATTTTCACAGTTCAAGGATTAATTTAATGATTACTCATTCTGTTAACAAATATAAAATATTTTTAATCTTTTAAAATATAATTATTATTTTTTTAAAAAAGTATGAATAAATTATTTTATATATTTTTTAAAGTGAAACACAGAGCAAAATATGAAAAAATAAAATTAATTTAAAAATAAATGAAATTTAATTAAAAATATTTTATATTTTTTTAATTTAAAAAGGGGGGGCACCAATAAACAAAGGGCATGCGTAAGTGCGTTAATTGCTTGTTATTGTCATCTTGTAATGCTTTCTAGATTTTCAAATTGAGCCAAAAATATCGCCGACAATTTTACTGTCATTTGACCCTTGCAACGTTAATTCCAGAATGTTTGCTTGTTTTTGTAATGGCCATTTGTTCACACACAGACAAAAACACAAATATGCATTTTCAAACATATCCACCATGTCCACATAGGCCCCCTCGATTCACATCCACAGGACTTTCAATTCAATTCGTCATCCAGCTTCTTGTTTGTTAGATCGATTGTATATGGATATGTTGATTGTTAATTTCGATCATTTTCTTGGTTAATAGAACAAAAAGGTGTGAAAAAAATTAAGAAATTTAAAATGTTTTGTAAGTGAAGCATGAATCATATCCATAAGAAAGTGAAAAAGACAGAGAACTTGACGTTAAGAAGCTTTAAAATTAAAATATTGTTTTTATTATAAAATTTTGTTGGGAACTCATTACTAAACTCAATTACCTTTGGGTGTGGAGTTTAAGAGATAAATACAAATGCAATAAATACAAAATTTTGATTGTAGTCAAACCTATTACATGCTCCTATATTTAAAGTAGTATATGCAAAATTTGGTATAAATTCATACTTCATGTTAGCTAAAAAGTTGGTAGAAGAGATCAAATATTTTTTGACATGATAAATGGTCTCTGCTCCCAACCCTCCTATTAAATATGCTTTCCTTAATGTCAATTCTATTCTCCATGCTAAAGTCTCTAATTTTTATAATAATGCAAGTCGATGGAATATTGACTTTTTAAGTCGCTACCTTCACTCAGATATAATCAAACAAATCTTAATTGTGCAACCTCTTAATCAATAAAGTGAAGGCGTTCTTTTCTGGAGGGCCTCTTCTGATAGCAATTTTTTTATCAAATTTTCTTACAAAGCTATGGAGACTTGCAAGGATCAAAATCACTCAGATATTTGGTTTAAGATTTGCAAGTGACCTATATCCAAAAAAAATCAAATATTTTCTTTAAAGGTTGTTTGGAATCACCTACATAACAACCATGTGCATATCATTGGTTTCTCTCTTTAACAAAGTTGCTACCCTTTTGGTCGTAACTCCTCAAACTCTTCTATACATATTCTAAGAGATTGTAAGGAAGCTAAGAAGGTTTGAAAAAAATTGGTAAAACAACAACAACAAGCCTTTATCCCATTAGGTGGGGTCGGCTACATGGATTGCAAGACGCCATTGTGTTCTATCATTTATCAAACTTTTAGGAATATTATTAATTAAGAGATCGCGTTCAACAACTTTCAAGAGTGTTCTCTTAGGCTTTCCTCTACCTCTCTTAATCGAACTCAAAGTTATATGTTCTACTCTTCTCACTGGTGCCTTCCTTAGTCTTCTTTGTACATGCCCAAACCATCTCAACCGATTTTCTACCATTTTTTCCTCAATAGGTGTTATCCTTATTTTTTCATGTACGTGCTCATTTCGAATTTTATCTTTACGTATATGTCCGCACATCTATCGTAACATTCTCATCTCTGCTACTCCAACTTTATGCTCTTGCTGTCCCGTTAGAGCCCAGCATTCACTACTATATAATATTATCGGTCTGATAGCAGTGCGATAAAACTTTCCTTTAAGTTTATTAGGCACCTTACGGTCGCAAATAACTCCTTTAACTTTTCTCCAATTAAACCACCTAACTTGAATCCTATGTGAAATATCTCCACTGATTTCGCCATCATTTTGAATAATGGCTCCCAAATATCTAAACTTTTCCACTTGAGGTATAATTTGATCTCCCAATTTGACTTCCAAATTATTGTCGAATAGTCTCTTACCAAATTTACAATATAAAATATTTCATCTTACTCCTACTCAGACGGAAACCTTTTGACTCCAATGCCCTCCTCCATAACTCAAGTTTACAATTAACCTCTTCTCTTGTCTCTGCTATAACAACTATATCATTTGCGAAGAGCATACATTTGAAAATTTTTCCTTGAATATATTCCATCAAAACATTTAAGATCAAGTTGAACAGATAAGAACTTAGAGACGATCCCTGATGTAGTCCAATCTTTATAAGAAAATCCTTTATTTGACCACTAGGCGTTCTTATACTAGTTTTTACCCCCTTCATACATATCTTATATGGCTTTAATATAAGCAATCCGTACTCCTTTTTTTCCAACGCTTTCCAAAGCACTTCTCTTGGTATGCGGTCATAAGCTTTTTTCAAATCAATAAAAACTATGTGTAAATCTTTATTTTTACAACGATACTTTTCCATTAATTCCCTTAGTAGATAAATCGCCTCTGTAGTTGATCTACCTGACATAAAACCAAACTGATTCTCAGAAATACTTGTCTCCAATCTCAACCTGTGCTCAATTACTTTCTCCTACAATTTTATTGTGTGGCTCATGAGTTTAATCCCTCTATAATTAGTATAATTCTGAATATCTCCTTTATTTTTATAAATAGAAATTAATGTACTTCTCCTCTACTCATCAGGCATTTTCTTGGACCGTAAGATCACATTAAATAACTTAGTTAACCATCTCACCCCTTCTTCACCTAAACATTTTCACGCTTCGATAAATATACAATTAGGTTCGTTGGCTCCACCATTTGCCATTTTTTAAGAGCTTCTTTTACCTCCTTATCACGTATTATTCGATAGAATGACAAATTTTGTTCTCCTTCACCAATTACTAAATCTTCCAAGTTACTAGATGAACCCTCTTCATCATTGAAAAGTTTGGAAAAGTAAGTCTCTCATATATTTTTAATTTCATCATCTGTAACTAAAATTCTTCCCTCTTCATCCTTAATACACCTTACCTGTTCTAGATCCCTTGATTTTCTTTCCCTACTCTTGGCAATCTTATAAATGTTTTGTTCTCCTTCCTTCGTCTCAAGGCTCTTATAAAATTCTTCAAAAGCTTTAGAACGAGCTTCACCCACAGCTCTCTTAGTTTCCTTCTTAGCCATATGATACTTCTCCCAATTTTTCTCATTGTTACACAAATATATGGCTTTAAAATAATTCTTTTTATACTTGATTTTATCCTGTACACTATTATTCCACCACCAAGACTTCTTATCTCTCGGACCAGAACCTTTTGATTCTCCCAAAACTACTTTTGCAACCTCCTGTATCTTTTTAGCCATATCCTTCCATATGATGTTAGCACTTTCTTGAGATTCTCAAATTCCTTTGTCCAAAAGATTTTGCTTGAAAATATCTTGCTTCTCACCTTTTAATTGCCACCACCTAATCCTTGGTGCTACTACTTGTCGATGCTTTTGAATTTTACTCATAATACACACATCAAGGACTAAGACCCTATGTTGTGTCGTTACAGCATCTCCGGGGATCACCTTGCAATTTTTATAAAGTCTTCTATTTGCATTCCTGACTAAAAGAAAATCAATCTGTGACCTTGAGGCTCTACTTTTGTAAGTGATGAGATGCTCATCTCTCTTCTTGAAACAAGTGTTGGCAATTTTAAAATCATACGCCAATGAGAAATTAAGAAGAGTTTGTCCTTCATTGTTTTGCTCTCTAAAACCAAGACCACCATGCACCCTCGTATACTGACCAGCCTCCCTCCCAACATGCCCATTAAAGTCTTCTCTAATAAAAATCTTTTCACTCTTTGGTATGTGTCGAATCAACCCCTCCAGATCCTCCCAAAATAATTCCTTAAGACTGGCTTCTGTCCTGATTTGTGGCACATAAGCGCTAACAATATTAACAGTCTCACGTCCAATTATCATTTTTAAGGAAATAATTCTGTCTCCAGTTCTGCTAACTTCTACAACATTCTTCTTCCACTCCTTATCCATAATGATGCCTACTCCATTACGTGCGTTTACTTTTCCTGTATACAAAGTTTGAAACCTTGAATATCCTTAGCTTCTTCTCAACGCCATTTTGTTTCTTGCAGGCAAAGGATATTGATTTTTCTTTGAATCATAAACCCTACAACCTCTACAGATTTACAATTCAATGTCCCAACATTCTAAGTACCAAATCTAATTTTGCTCTCATGGACTAACCTCTTTAGCCGCACACGTCCAGAATGATGCAGTAGCTCTTTCTCATTTAACACTACATCCGGGCGCCAATGCAGCGGCTCTAACTTACTTATCACTGTACTCGAGCCATGCAGCCCGTTACTTACGGGCAACGACCTAGCATTAACATTATAACGTCTATTGTCCATGTTCATGATAGATTCAACAAAGTTTTACATTGGTTGTTGATGGCCTAACACAACCCTCCTCCTTTACCTGGGCTTAGGATCGGCTATAAACATAGGCGAAGTTTGGAAAAAAAAAAGAAAAAAATTGGTAAATCTTGCAAAATTTAGCACCTTTTTCTCTTTTGATTTGTAAGACTGGATAATTTGAAATGCAAAGAATGAAGTAGAAAATTTGAATATAAGAACATTCTGGAAGAGATTTTTCACCCAAGCTTCATGGAATATTTGTAAAGTTAGATGCAAGGAACTATACTTTGAATATAAGATTCAAGACAACAATATTGCTTTCTCTAGTACTCAACAGATTAACAATGACTTGAAGTTTCTATCAAAAATCAACTACTTGAACAAAAGAGAATCTAGATATGATGTTAAATGGAGCCCACCTAAACTTGAATGGGTTAGACTCAACACTGATTGCACTATCAACTTCAATTGCACCATTGTTTATGGAGGAATAATCAAAGATGATAAGAAAAATTTGATTAAAGGATTTTTTAAGTTTCTTGGCTATCATCCTAGTAAAGCTGTAGAACTTATGAGAATTTTTGAAGGATTTAACCATTGCTGGAAAGAGAAATTATCCAAAATTAATGTCTACTTTGGCTTGATGGAGATGCTGTCTTTCATTAGCCACAACTACTCTGAAAGTCATTCCCTATCTGACATTAACAAGAAAATTATAAATCTCATTATAAGAGATTGAGTGATTATCTTTGATCACATTTATAAAGAAAAAAAGAGATGGGTAGATTTCTTGGCCCACAAGACAATATGAAACATTTTTGATATTATGATTTTCAACGTACTCCAACAAAACTGTAGTAGCCTCTTGTAATTAGACATGACTAGATTTTAATTTTTTTATAGAGTTTTCATGGCCATGTAATAAAAAAAAACCTAGCATAAAAAAGAGGGCAACATCCGTGCATTGCAAATTCGCAATATTCATTTTCTTTAGATCAAATTTATATAATTATCTCTAAAGATATAAACCCCAACTCCAAGAAGAGTACAGGTAATTAGTTAAACAATGCATGTGAGGATGAGTATAAGTGGACTTGAGTTGAGGCCAACTTTTCAAGTTGCAACCAAGGTTGGCCTATCTTGAATGAAACTTGATTCTAATACTATTATTTATGAATGAGGAGTGATTGCCTAATAATATGAGAGAAGAAAAATGAACAAAATTAATAGAAGGACATTATATTTTAACTGATCAGGATCTCAAAATTCAAATTTGTGAGTCATTTTCATCCTTTATTACATATTAATTATGAATTCTAATTTTATTCTCATATCATCCTAAGTTCATTTACATTTAGACAATTTAATACTTGGCGGTTTGAATTTTATATTCTTCTTTTCTTCTTCCTTTCCGCCTTGCATGTCTGATTATTCCACTTATATAACCACTTATACTTTTAGTATCTATATCATCCATCGCTGATCCACCACTCTTTTAAACCATTTGTTATTGATATCAGTTTACACTCCTTTTTGATCCAAAAACCACCATGTCGACATGTGGTATGCATATTTATCATGATTTTTTTTTTAATCACACGAATAAACTATAACAGCTTGAGATAACTAGCAGATCCAAGTTTGTGTATACGGAATGATGTGTTATTCAAAACTGAAAAAACAAATAGAACTTTCTTTTAATTAAGCATCATTGTAATTATTTAAAAAAAAAACGAATTAATGGAATGACCAAGCAGCATATTTGGTAGTATTCGTTAGTTCAAGAGATCATAACATGAATGACGATAGTTTGAAAAATAGTATTTATTATCGTTACCAAGCATGTTCATCAATTTACTACACGTGTGTGCGTGGGGAATAAGCATTGTCAAAACTAGATTTTTCGAGAACAATATGCTTAGTTTATTGGTTAACGATTAAGTCGATCAATTTGTAAATAAATACACTATTACATATATTATGAAAAAAAAATCATGAAGATAAACTTTTATATATTTTATGAAACTTCATATTTTTTATTGATTACCATTATGATGTTTTAAGCTCTTAATCAAACTCATCATTCTAAAACTATCAAGATGATTTTACATCATATAGAAATACGGGGTAGTCTAATCCTGCGCAAATTGAGCGGACTTAACAGTCAACAGAACCAAGAAAAAATTGATCCCGTTTGATGCTAGCAAATGAAGATGAGTTTATAATTTTTTTGGCCAAACATGTGTTATTTTAATTCATACTGATTTATTTATAATAATTAATTGGTGATGTGAGTGATCATTGACTTGTTTTGTTATTATGAATATAGATGAAGATTTCATGCATATATGGTTTATTCAATTTCTTTTTGGTAATATAGTTTGTTTAATTTATTTAGTACAAAATGTGCTAAGCCGTCAATATATCTGGGTCTGAAAATTTTGGATCATTCCAGTATTAATCCAGAAAAAAAAGAATTGGATCATTGAAATGGCACAACCCAATCAAGTCGTCCAACTAATTATCATTATGAGTTGGACCATGCTAGGGAATCTGACCCATTTAGCTTCATTTTTCGTTCCCCATTTTTTTATGCTAAAGAGGTACGTACAGTTTCTTTAGGGGAAGAAAGGAAAGAATGGGTTTCATAAATTCATTTTTTATCGGACAGATTGGGTAGAAGGAACTTGTTCATCCTTTCTGGGCCATGAAATTTACCCACTTTATTCTCCAACTTGCTGTGCTATGACACACAGCATCGGTTCCATTGTCTTTCTTGACTTATCTCCCCAAATGAGAGAATCACTAGACTAAGCTGTAGCATGATTATAGCGGGATGATTGAACCCAAGTGTGGACATGAGCATGTAGAACCCTTAAATGTATATATAATAATCACAACCTCACCAACAAGACGAATAATAAATATCAAGATTCATAGTGGAGAGATGGAGCACCCACTCAGTCTGGATGCCAATAAAAAGCTCTAAGGCTACATGGCAGCATCAAGGCAGAGAAGTAAAGAAGCTGTTGGCAAAATCTATCCATGGCTTCTGTTCAGTGTCAGAAACACAATGAAATCTGCCAAAAACAGAGCCACCACACCAAGTTAGGGCAGAAAATCTGTGAGATGACTAATAAGGCTTTCAAAGGCCATGGAAATACCAACACCAACACTTCCTCCAAAGCAGAGACTCATTGCTACACGCAAACTCAGACGTCCCAGAACGTGACCGATCAGAGCGAAGCCAAAACCGAAACCGAGATCACCCTTTTAGTTGTGCAGGCCCGCATCACCCAAACTAACACCAACCATCCTCCTGCTAATCCTCGTGGAACAACCACGACGTGCTTTGGGAATCATACCTGGAAAAACCAGAACAACAAAAAGGATATGACTTTATTCCGCAGGATTAAGGACGGCGTGTCCCGTCATAACAACTGTGACAACGACAGCAGCAGCGACAGCGACAGCGACAAGGAAAACTGTCGAAAGAGGAAGGTAATCTCGTCCTACCCAAATCTTTCAAGTAACACAAATGTGTATCTTCCTCATAAGGCACAACCAAGTTCATTAATTGGCATTTGATTTTGACTTCACTGTTATGAATCTGCTTCCGCAGAATTGATGAAAGGTGCAGCAGCACATCAGAGATGAGCAACGTTTCCTGTTTGCGACGGTTGAAAATGGGTGCCTTTCTTAAAAATAATCACCTTTATGATGGACAAACACATATTGTACTCAGAAGTTGAAGAAAATAAAAATAGCCAATCTGATTTGGCTATGCTGTGTTCCCTAGTTATGACAAATAAACATGTAGCTGTTTGGCTACCGTTAAGCATCTCTTCCAAAATGGAAATGTAAGAACCCAATCTCTGGCCAATCACTATTAACTGAAACTTTAATGCTGAGAGGTAAACTACATCAAGTTAGCACTGTTAAATTAACACTCCATAACAAGTGGATTACTCAGTTCTGCTTGCAAGGAAAGGAGTTACAGAAGAGATCCCTATAATTTACTCCAAATACAATTACAGCTATCTTACAAAAGCACAAGGGCCACATTCAAACAAATGAACAAAGTGTAGAGGCAACCCTTGTCATGCCAAAATTAACAAGAGACGTGAAGTATATTATCCCTCAAGTAACCTAGAAACGAAAGCTGCAATAGCCTGAACAGCAGCGTCTTCAGCTTCGTCTTGGGTGGAAACTTTTGATTGCAGATGCTTCTTGCCAATCTTGAAAGAGTGATCACCACCATCAATGACATGCAGCTCATTGAGCACTTCCATCTTCTTCCGAGTGGCTTCTAACTTCTCAAGTGGACAGAGACTGTCCTTGCTGCCCTACACAAGAAAATCTCAGAAAGGCAAACATCGGGAGAAACTCGAATAAAGATAAGCATATTTATAAAACGAGGCAAATCATGCTGTAAGTTTCCGAATACCACACAAATAAAAATTAATAATGGCCCAATTCACCCAATAATTTCACCAAAATAATAGATAACCTCTAGCTACTAAATACTCCCTCTGGTCCTAAATGTAGGAGCAAGAAAACTAATTTATACATATTAAAGAAATTAATTAAGTAATTAAGTTAATCATTTGTAAAAAAACGTGTTAGTTTTCCTAAAATATCCCTCCTTTTCATCATTTAAATTGGCAACTACCCCTATTGATTGCACGCATTAAAATAGGGGGTAGTTTGGGAGAAAAATGATAAAGTTAGGAGACAAAGGAGATTGAGGTCTTACATTTAAGACCAAAGTAAACTCCTCAAGTCCTACATTTTAGGACTGAAGGGAGTGCTAATTACTTAAAGATCCTCCACCGCTTCAACACCGTCTAACTCAAGAATTATAACCATAGGAACTACCTGTACAAACATTGTAGGAACTGTCAGCTCAAGAAGTGTTTCATCTCTAATCCCTCCACTGATGCCCTGAAATATTGGGCAACCAAATTATTGTCATTGTGGTGTTAGTTGTACTTCGTTTCTTTCAAATAATGCAACATGATGTACGCTTATGATTGCTGGAACAGAAAACTGAAGGCATAACAAGCAAACTATCTGGAGAATGGAAGGAGGAAATCACGAGTTTCTAGACTCCACAAGGGCAACAACTTCAGAAATCATGCAGCTGAAGTAAGATGGCCAGCCTAAGGCCAAACTGACAGATGGACTAGAATGATTACTGACTCAGATAAGAACAAAAGACTTAATAGCCTCTGTAATACTAGAACGCTCATTTTACCAAGAGTTGTTGAAAGATACACTACCTTAAAACCTCTGGTCTAGAAGCCTTACAATTTGTAATTTTAAAGAAATAACTTCAGTAATCTCTTCAGCAGTAACCTATTAATCTGCTTTGAATACCTGGAGAGAAATGTAGTCATTACTCTCACAACATTATACTTTATATTTTTGTTTGCAAAGTTGCCCTTTATATCTACTAATCATGTTAAGAATCAATACATTCTTTCTCAGTGAAAGCAAGGGAATGGTTCCCAGAATTTTAAACCATGAAAATCCTTCAAGGCAACCCATGCTCTTAACATTCTATCTCTTCATACACCACAGCAGATGCATACACGAAAGATATAGAAACTTCAAGTTTCACTGCGTGGAGGCAGCGCGTTCTATTAAGACCAATTAATGCAAGTTAGTAAACTTAGATCTTCAAGCCTCCAGCATGATCAGATACTGATTCTACAAATAGAACAATGAATAGTTGAATACAGTACTTAAGATCAACAAGATGTTATGCAACAGAACATCGAACCTTTAATGGGTAGCCCAAGCAAACTACAGCAGTGACATTAATTTCTTTCATACCAGCCACCATGCAGCTAACTCTACAAGAAAACAACAATGGCATCAGCTAATTCCAGGCAATCTGTCTCGATAACATAGGTTCAATGAGCACAATATAAAATACCTAGAACCCATTGATTTTCCCGCCAAAATAAGGGGATGAGCAGGGAACTTAGCAGCAGTTTCCTTTACAATGCCCGAGTGAAACTCAACCAGTTTTTCTGCCTTCGGAGGAGCCCTCCTTTTCCCGCCAGAAATGTCTGGTAAATCCATTTATTCACATAAGGCATGTATTTGTCAATTTCATTAGTGGCGGTCATAGACTAGGTAAATGCAACCATAAGTACTTGGGAACGCATTAAAATGACGAACACATAAAGATCCTGATAATGTAAGCAGTGGGCATGCCCAATTTTGATAATTGAAAAAGAGACAAGAATCAATGCCACATTAAGCGTTGCATTTAATAAAAAAATTGACCCTTTGATCGAACAACAAAAAGTCAATGCCACACTAATGGAAGACATGAAATTTAGTTCCAAACAAACTCACAAGGATAGTCAAAGGTGACGACTTCAGCAGCATGCAGTGCCTCACTTAACATATGCTTCCATCTGTTAAAATTACGAAACAACGAAGATTTAAGCATATATATGAAGATTTTACGGTGACCAAACAAGGATATATCTTAAACTGCTTTTGAGTCCTTGCTCCAGAGAATTGCGAAATGAGTCTGAACTGCTTTCAAGTAATATAACGATAAACCTAAAACTCAACATGCCGTTTACACTTTGAATAAAATGGATATGGGCGCGAAGGATGTAAAACCACATTTCCAATTTAGCGTAATCGGGGCTTCTTTTCTCATTGAATCCCTTGATCGTGGATAAGAGACGAATTTGGCATCAGTAATCAAAAATTTAAAACTATAACAAGCCCGCAAGCGCACGAGTTTTCACTTTTATCGTCCACCAATTTAGAGTACAGGTTTGGCGTTCACCGGCATTTGAAATAAGCAATTAAAAGCAGTGAGTAAAGAGAAACGATAACGGCCATATATTTTTTTATTTTTTATTTTTTGTAGCTAGTGAAGAACCTTATCATCCAAGGAGAAGAGGAAGGAGCTCCAGCACCATGAGCGAAGACCACCACCGGTGACAAGTTTTCAGATTTCGATAATGGTGTCAAGTCAATATCGCCGTCACTGCTCTGTCGCTGGCACTTTGCTGGAGGTGAATCCATGTCTTCGCAGGGACAAATTCCTAGAATCAAGTTCCCATTCGAACCTAAGCAATTTATTACACTATTTTTCGGGCCAAAAGTGAGAAGCGAGAATTTTTTTTTTTAAAATAATTGCCCAGTGGTTCTTCTTTTTATTGGGGGGTTTTCCACTGTTCTTAGGATTTGTTTTTTTTTTAAAAAAAAAAATCTTGGATTAAGAGGAAGATGGCCTTGCCAAAAACTTTGTAATGACATTTTGGCGGTTCTGAATTCATAGTCGTCCATCTTTTTCTAAATCATCATATTCCGTTGATCTGTAGTCGGACATAAGGTTAGAATATCTATGGCCCAATTCCCTTTTTTTTGAGGGACTTGGTGCTAAACGACTGTCTGAGATTTCCCTAATTTTGTTTTTGTCTAATTTCCTTATGTAATCTGGGCTCAGCCCTCATTTATATATAAAAAAAGAATACTATGGCCGTCTTTGAAATTCTCAACCTATTCTTCCGAAAGAGGCTCCACCACACACCCACTTCTCTTTTTACCCCCGGAATACTGCGGAAAACCATGCAAGACAAATAATGTCATGTTACTTTACCCATCAATAAATTGCAGGGCACTATTATCTTGGAGTTTTTAATTTAAAAAAGGATGTGACTTGTGTTGGGCTTGAGAAGCATCTCGAAAAGAGGGGGAACACAATAATTCTAAAAAAATACATGTACATAAATACAATATCACTTCTTAACACAAAATTATATATTGGACTTGGAGAACATCTTGAAAGAAAGGAAAACACAGTTGGGCCACACACTCAATAATTCTAAGAATACAAATAAATGAGTATAAGTCTAATTCAAAACATTAAAAACATTGAATTTGTGATACTTTTACTTATATAACTCTTCTCCCATCAAATTCCATCTAATGTAGGACATTCTTTTTATACTAAGCCAAGTCAACTCACACATGATATCCCAACACACGAGACAAGGGTTGCATGCAGGAATCGGTTTGGATACAGTTTAAACACAATTATTCAGCGAATTTGAGGCGTTGCATGATGCATGCATGCAGGATATGAAAGCGAAGAGAGGAAAACTGGAAAAAAAGATACGAAAGGAATGTCAAATAGGAATTAGATATGCTAATGCTTTCATATGCATTCATGGAGATAAGGTTGAGATGCCTTCGCTGGCCCTTAAAGTTGCTTTAGCCATGTGTTATTGTCTTTATAGCCTGATAAGTGCTATCCATCCAGCAAGAGCAATATTAATTAAATGTCAATGAGTTGCATCAACAATATGTAAATATATATATAGATATATATATATATATATATAGTTATATTCTTGCCAACGGAGGGAAGCAATATTAGGACTGGGTATCGATGCTCTGTCTATAAGATAGGGCATATGAAGATAGATTCTACTCCGGTTGCAATATAAAAATGGGCAGAGAGAGCCAAATATACAATCCCTTTCATCAAGGAATCAGTGAAGGGATTGGTTGTTTACTCTCTCTCTCAAGGGCTTCTTGCTGCGTGACCCCCCAAATTAAAATTTCTTCACATTGAGTTCGTAGCAGCAAGCAGACAGAAAGGCCTAGAGAGAAAGAGTACACAAGCTTCCTCTTTTCTTAATTAAAAGGCCTAAAATATGAGCATGCAGTTTCTGAACCGGTACCATTCATTGCTCAATCCCCTCAAGGACTTCAGATTTTGCTTCAAGCTTGTGGCAAAAGCCTAGCTTTAGTCTGGAGTTCATTTGGGGAGTGAATGATGCTTGATACCTTCGGATCCCTCCATCTCACCCTCTCAATTACTTAATTCATTAATTCGTTCCCGGACGGTCGCTCCTCCTTCCTAGCAATTAGTTTTCCAAATCCTTCAAAGCTTTTTCCATTATGCAATAACGTTTGGTAACGTATCTTCTTTTCCTTGCAACATCTCTCATTTCCTTTTCAGAAATTACTTTTCTATGTATCAAACATGCTATATATAAGAGCCATGAGTGTGGTCATCATCGTCCAGTCAATGCTTCTGTGTTACTGCAGGTGCATGTATTTTCCCTATTTTGGTAAAGTGAAGTGGGTAGGCCCTTGTGGCCCTAACTGGAAAATCCCTGCAAATATCTTCAAGGACCATACGAATTTGTGAATGGATGGTCAACACAAGGATTTCAACAACGAGGGTGAGATTGAGAAGGGGAACAGCTTATGACGCCTGCCATGTGAATGACGTGACCCCCCATAGATCTTAGTACATGCTTAAGCTTTCTTCTCAACTCAAACTCAAACCTTATTTTTGAAACAAGGAAACACGTGGGATATCTAGCTTGTACTCTCTTCTATTACCTGAACTGGCAATCCTCCTGGTGGCGACTTGGCACATGCGTATGTAGTCCTCTCACCCTCACACTCAGCCCACTTGGTAATTTTCAAACCTGCATTGTATCACGCCAAGTTCTCTTTTTACTTTATTTTTCTGTGGACCTGCCGAGGCACTATATATAAGAATTTGGCTCAGCATGATACACACACACACACACACATATATGCCCTCGTTGATTAACTGTGTTGTTGGTATTAAACGAATAATAGCCAGTCCCACTTACACATGCATATGCCCTATACATGGTTCACTTAACTCTTCCAAGTTCAGTCAACTATCATCCGTGCATGTCTATGCTTTGTCTAGTACCGATTCCTTGTTCCTTTATAGATCATTCTACAATTAGTACTTTTGAGGGCTTCAATTTCATTCCACTCTGCTTCAACCACTAATCAGCATCTTTAGTTCCTAGATAGCAGCTGATCAATGTCTGGTTCTTTCGTTTTCATGCTCTCCATTCACAGTTGTCATATATAAGGTTGAAAAAAACATGCAACTAATTTTTAACGCAAAACAGAATTTATTTTTTTTTAAATAGTTTACAGACAGTTCCATCCAGCGGCATGCAGCAAACTAAAGTGATTAAATGAAGCTATTCTTCCAAGTTCCAACCTTGCTATTACTGGCAACAGACTTTGAGCAAAGCTCATCGTTGTACAACGGCGTTCGATTTCGGGTACGTTTTATTGTTCTTAGTATATAGATATATGATTTTAATATTATTGGAAGTGACACCCGACAGTGTCCGAAAATTGAAAGAAAAATAAATTAAAAAGAAGAAGATATTATTGCTACAGTCATGAGGTACCACAATAATGATCACTACTTCAACAAACATTGTCAGCTCCCAGATGACTCAAGGAAATTGAAATTCAAACACCCATGAAACATTCACTTGATAGCCACAAGTTTTTCAGAAATATCAGTGAACCTGCGACTTTAATTAATTTTCTTCTGAAACGCGGATCTTGTCTTCTATCCTAGGCCACTTCCTCGTTTTTCTCCACAACCCTCACTCCTTTTGCAGATCTAAGCACTTTCGCCTGTTTCAAAGACAAATTGAACCCAAAAGGGAAAACATCAGATCACATACATACAATCTCATATATATGTTTATATTATATGAGGGCCAAGACAAGTCAAGACGAGGAAAACACAGAGATGAAAAGAGTACTTAAAAACGTACTTGATCTTCCGTGATTTTGACAGCAAATCCATCAACAATGACCAACGAAGATGTCTTGGTGTAGCTTCCAGGCTCAAGGGTTCTGGCTAACAGTTCATCGTGCTTCTTACTGAGATAGACGTCAAGTTCATGTGATCCACTCTTGGTTCTAGTTACATCAAGTGGTTACACACAAATAAACACGCAGAACACAACAAGATGAGTGCGATGAAAATGGTGGAAGGGTAATTAAGGCAAATGCAATATAAAGGACAGTTCAAACTGACCGATCCGCTCGAAGACGCTCGTATTGGGGATCATAGTTCATGAACACGAAGTATGACTCCACTTCTTTGCTTCCCATTTGGATTCTGTCTCCTTATCTCCTGCTGTTTCCTTTATTTTCAATGTGTTGAGCATATGAGCATGTCCACTGAGTAGGGTGTACTTAGTATTTATAGACAACTTAGACCGCAATGAGTCAAAGATGGGTCCTCTAATTCAAATTTTAGCATAGGGTTTGTCTTTTTCCCTTTTTAATGTCCTATTTTTCAAGTTTTTGTCTAACGGGTAGCTCATCTAATGCTAAAAAGGTAAATTATATTAATTAAATTTAATTTGACTGAAATAATATCTGATACCTTTTTTATTTCAAAAATTACATTTGATTTCCATAATATTTACACTCATATATAATGGAGAAATTAAACTTTCCTTTTTAATTAATCTAATTTATCTCAGATAATTTTTTTAATCTACCGCACAACATACGGTTATGATTTTATTCTTGAAATGGCGATAAAGATAATTAAGTTTTTTTAGGTGAAAAATATATCTAGCATTTGGCTTCCAACTATTTTAAATTTGAGCATTGTTGAATTTGAATGAGGATAGCTTATGATGTTATTTTTAAAATATTTTTGAAATATTGCATATTGTCTAAAAAATTAATCTTATATAGTAAACGGGAGGAGGGGAAATTTTAAAACAACAAGCATGATGTGCAACAAGAAGTAGTGCTCTGATCCAACAGCGATTGGGTCGAATAAAAGAAACTCAGTTTTTGTTAAATGAGGCTGAGGGTTCAAAAAAAAAATTGAATTGAAAAAAAAATATTTTATACATAAGAGTTACCTTCAATAAACTTAGTGATCAAATTTGACCCTGCTACGCAAAAAGATACACAAACAAATTTATCAAACAAAATTTCTGCATATTTCAGCTAAAGCCGACTCGTTGTGAGTTTTGATTTTGATGATGTGACACTAATATATACTCCCGATCCTTTTTACAAGAGACACTTATAAAAATTTTATTGATCCTATCTATAAAAGACTCCAACTTCTAAGCTGCAATAGTTAATAGCGTTTTCATATTTTTCCCTCGTCAATTAGCTGTATATACTAATGTTATCAATTATGTTATTATAAGTCAACGTTCAATTCCATAAATAAGAGTATTTTTAAATTGCATCTTGACATAGTGATTGCATTTACTGATTTTAACTATAATTTTAATTTAATCAGCTGATTCGGTTAGTTGTCTCTTCCTATAAGAGTAGTAGCGTGCCACTTGCAAGCATAATAAATATATGATTAAAGTATATTTTTAATCCTTTTATTTTATATAAACTTTTATTTTAATTCTTTAATTTTATAAAGTATCTTTTTTATCATATAACTCCAATACTGTTAGTTTTATCAATAAAAAATTCTGCATTAAACTGTGAAATATTGAAAAAACATTCTCAAGTTAATATAAGAAATTTAATTTTTTAAATAACAATTATTGGTATAAAAAATAATTATTTTAAATTAATGATGATATTAGGATTAAAAGGCTGAAAATACTTTATAAATTTAAAAAATACTAAACTAAAACTTTATACAAAATTAGAGAATTAAATGTATATTTTAATTAAAATGGAAAATTAGTTCATGCATGTGGGGAGAGACAGACAGAGCAGAGTCCGCGGTGCCGGAGCCACAGCACTACATGTTAATATGTTCGATCGCGACGGCAAAGAAAATATCGTGGTTCACACTTGGACGTTGTTTTGCGCGGGAGGCTCCAAAGAAAGTCAAAAGGGAAGATCAGTCAGACAATCACACGCTTGCGACACAAAAGTCAAATCTAAGCACCGTTCACAATGAGGACGGCAATTATATATATTAATTAATAATTAATAATAATTAAATAACTTAACACAATTCTGACCTTTCAAAGTCAAATGAGATCCCATCATCGCTGTGTACATGGATGAATAATTTTCCCTCATCCCAGTCCTCATGTGCAATAATTAATCATTTTGAAACCCGGTGCTTCATCTTTAGTAACATTCATGAACTTCCCCATTCAAGCCTCGCGTACCCGCGACTTTTATCGAGTTCAGACTTCAGAGGGTTCACACACACACCCACAAGGCCTTGGACTTTATAATCACATGTTATCGTCAATTCAAATCCAATTATTAAAAAGCATTATTAGTTGTAATTTACCAGCCTAGCAGTACATCAACCTAGCTAGCTACTATATTGAACTAAACGATGAATTCATTTGCTAAGGGCAAAAAAGCAGGCACAACATGGGGGCCCAAAAAAAACAAAAGAAAGAAAGCATCAGAACGGGAGCTTCACTCAACCCAGAAATTAAGAAATGAAGAATAAAATCAGTAAAACTCCATGACCGTATGCATTGGATGGATTTGAATTAATAATAATATGGGTACTTTCAGTAGAGATCATGGATGAAGGTGGTTGACTATAGAACCAAGCTTTTGCAGTTTTTTTTTTTTTTTTGACCAGCAAGCTTTTGCAGATTAATGGGGTGAGCATGAGGGATGTAACTGTGTGAGTGAGAGGTGGGGGCTCACTGGCGGAGAACGTGTGGCAAGGAGGCACGTGGCAAGCAGGCAGAGGAGGGTCGTCCAGTGTTGTGGAGGGCGAGGCTTGCCCCGACTCCATCATTGGTACGGTCACTTGTTTTATCACCAGATTCTGTGAATCTGTCCACTCACATGTCGCTAGTCCCCTGGTCGGTGCCCCTACGGCTTTTGCTGCTCCTTCCTTTATTGCTTTTGCTGCACCTTCCTTTATTAGACTTTCTCTCGTCATTTTTTGATTTTTCTCAGCTCACTTCACAACTCTTCCCATGGATTGAGTTTCCCTGCAGATCTGGACCATCCAGATAAAAAATTTGGATGGTCCAGATTTAAGTATCATTATATTATTGTATACTATATTTATTAAAATAAAAATGTATAAAATTATAAAATAATTTTAATAAATGTTTTATTTTTAATCTAGTTCAAATTTAATTTAGAGAATCTAATTTAATATTAAATTTTTATAACATATTGATTATCCATATTTATTCTGCACATTTAAGGACTATGCAAAGTGTGTCTAAATAATTAGTATACATTAGTTATACAAATTTTAATATTAAATCAAACCTGCTAAATTAAATCAAACTTATTTTATAATTTTTATAATTTTTATTTTAATAAATATAATATATAATAATATATTAAATTTGGATGATATCTAAATTGTTTAAATTTCATTTCAAGAATAAGCATCATATATTTATTCTTGAGTTGAGCATGAAAACCGGTCCCCTCTTCATATACTCATTGGATGAAATGGTTCCGGCCCAAATGTCTCTCCTCTCACAATGCGCCTCCTGACCGTGACCCATCGTAGAAACAAGGCTCCCCTTCGGCCCAAATGAATAAATACATGTATTTCATGTTACCAAAAACACACACACACAAATACTTCATAATTTTTTTTTTTTTGATAAAGAATACTTCATGAGTTTATCTACAAGAAATTTGAAATGCCTTATTTGAGATAATACGCAGTTGTCATCTTATCAACCATCAAAGAATGAATACGACAACAAAAAATGAAGTTTAATACTCCTTTTATTTTAAATTATAAAATATTTTTAAAAAAATTTTACATATCAATAAATATCATTAAATATATCTAACAATTTTACTTTTATAAAAAAATAAAAATTTTTAAAAATACCATTTATTCAATAACTTTAAATTTATATTTAATTAGTATTAAATAGAGAGAGAAAATGTACTATTAAAATAAATTTATTTAATAAAAATTTCATTTTTTTAAAATATTTTATATTTTGAGATTATAATTTTTTAAAAAAAATCACATATAATTTAGGATGCAAGGAATGTTATCTATGTGCGCTCAACAAAAGAATTCTTTATTCAACTTTATTGTATGAGAACATCGAGTTTTTTGGGGTCCAGTAGAATATCAAATCAAGTTGAATGTTATCTGTTGTTTGCGTGTTCACTTAGAAGGCTCCATTAGACTATGACTATCGCTAGAATGTATCTGTATTAGGAAAAGCAAAGGCCGAGGTAGAGAGAGAATTGGACTCCATTCACGTGGCAGCACGTAGATTTCACACTTTCGTTCATTGTTTGCCGAAAGTCAAATTCCCACCCGCCTCAATTCCTACTATTTATATCTTCCCTTTGCCTTCTAGACTTTTATCGTAAACACCACAAACCCTTCCCCCCAAAAGAAAAAAACAAACAAACAAACAGAGAGAACATAGGCATGGCTGCAGGCTTCGCATCCTTCACCGTCTTCTTGTGCCTCGTTTGCTTCTCCGCTCTTTCGACGGCCGCTGATCTCCCTGCGATTGATCCGGCCAACCATGATCCATTACCGGAATCCCGCACAGGTTCCGATGAGGCCAACGCCATCTTCCTCCCCAGCGAAAGATCCGAATCTGAATCCACAGCGGTGATCGGGTCGCAGCGTGAAACCGCTGATTCCAAGATTTCCAAACCCAATTCGGAAGCGGAAACTTTGAAGCTCACAGAATCATCCGAAGCTTCTGACTCCCCTCCGATCACGATGATCACTCTACGCCCGCTCAACCGCCATATGCCCTGGCGTCCGATGCCGTTTCCTTCCCGCTCCGGCCACCGTTGCCGCCACAACCATAAATTCAAGCCGTGGAATCCGCGCCTGCCCCGCCACCAGATCCCGTACGGTAACGACATGATCTTGAGCAACGGTGAGGAAGAGAAATTCGATGTGCTTCCCGACGATCGAGCGCGTCAGATTCCGATCAGATGGACGAGGTTTAGCCGCTTTGAACCTAGTTTGACCGATGAACCTGGAATGGAGAGGAGTGAAGAGGTAATGATGAGACCTCATCACCATCACCATGACCACGAACACGAACATGATCACCACCACGATCACGAGCGGGTGCACGAACACGATCACCACCACGATCAGTTTTATGAAAGAGATGATGAAGATGGTAGCATGATGAAGAGTATCCGCAAGTTTCTGCAGCACTTCTGATTTTTATGCCACTGGATGCATAGTGATAGTGATCACGAGCATTATTTATTTCGATACCTTCTGTTGTATTTAGTTATATTAGGGAAAGGAGTTCTATATCCTGTAAATAAGTTCGCATCTGCCAGAGATGTAGAAGCATGCTTTTGTATTTTGCCTGCTGGTGGACAGCCAGACATGCTTTTCTGTATGATATATATATATATATATATATAGCTTGATTAATTCGTTCTCTTTTTACCGCCGCGGCTTATACGAGAGGCGTCGTGCACCAAACCTACTAATCCAAGAAATGATGAAAAACCTAACCAATCATTTGACTCGGACAGATATACGCATTTCAAAAGTTGCATACACAACAGGTAGCGGATCATTGCATTTCCTGATGATAGTTCAATGAGCAATTACAAATATTAATTGTCTGATGTAAAATTAATCAAGAACATGCCGGGTGAAGTCAGAAGTTATTAGCACATGATCCAGGTTGCTGGGTGGCCAGCTCTGAACATGGAGACGGACTTACCTGACGAGATGCTCCAAGAACATCAGAACACTGCCATGGAGGAGATCTAGGTCCCATGATACCATGAAGATAGATATCAGAGAGACAAATCTGGGTGAAGGGGGAGTTTTTAATTCCGCGTATCAAGCCTGCCTGCCGAACCTTCACACCCCAAACATTATTAACTGTAACATCCTTGACTATAGGAAGAGCATTGGGGTTGAATTTGTCATCAGGGTGATCTCCAACATCACCTGAAATCTTTATTCCAGTCCTTGCCTCCTCTATGTACACATGAGAGAAGGTTATATTCCTTATAGTTCCTCCCCTCCCACTGTTAGTTTTTATGTGGATACCAACTCCTGTGTTGAAAAGATTTATGTGTTCAGCAAGTACATTCTCCACCCCGCCAGAGGCCTCACTGCCAATTGCAATTCCAGAGAATGGGGATGATCCCGTTACCCGCCGGATGGTGATACCGGAGCTAGGTCGACCATAAGCAATCCCATATTCATCCCACCCACTCTTCACAGCCACAGCATCATCTCCGCACGATATGTATGAGTCCTCTATGCACACATTCGAACTTGAATCTGCACAAATCATATGCAAGGATGAATGGATAGAAGTATTCTGAGATTTCTCACATGGCACTTTTATGGAGCTCAGTAATGTAGACGTTGTTGATGGGTGAGACGTCTGTGGATCTCCCACAGAGAGAGGGTTCTTCTGGACCAATTTGTCCAGTGTAAGATTAGACTCCTTAACCTTATTCATCATTTTCAGTACGCAACTGTACTTATTGAAATAAATAACAGAAGGCTAGTATATTTACCTGGATCAATTCCATCGGTGTTAGGTGAGTCATGTGGAGCCAATATGGTGACAAAACGAATGACAACATTACTGCAAGGAGGGAAGAAGTTTCAATGTCAGATTTTAGGTCCATTCACCGTCATATTCACTACCCTTTTAGTTTAAGCTTCGGACAAGCAAAAAGTGGACAGATTCAAAACAAATAACTCTACAAATTTGCCTCCGTTCGTAGTAAAACAATATTACCACAAGGGGAAAAAAAAGGCATGAAAACAAGTAATAAGTAGTCAGTGGACAAATATTTAACTCTCATGACTGTATGACACTGTGAACTGTACCTGCTATAAACCGGATGTATGTTCCAAAAAGGAGAGTTCTTAAAAATCACATTCGAAATGATGATATCTCTGGAATTCACAAATTCAAGAAGGCTTGGCCTGGTGTATTGAAGAGTCCTCTGCCTCCACATGTTCCACCACACCTCTCCTTGCCCATCAATCGTCCCATTGTCCCCTATGAAAATATGATGTATAGCAGAGACCAAGAGAGAGATGTTACAAGTCAAGTTTGGTAAGGAAAAAGGAATCAATCAATCAGGTCTGTAGTATATACTGTGGAATACATCTACGAATAATTAAAGATCTGATACCCACCGGTGATTACCACATCTTGCAACCCGTCTCCTTGGATAAAGCTAATATACCTTCCTCCAGGGCGCTCTCTTCCTCTTCCATAAGATGGCAATGGTGGGATCAATGGCCAATGCTTTGTATCCTAATGAATCAGGCAAGAAAGAAGATTTATCAATGAGCTAAGAATTACTTTCTCTTATATATATATATATATATTTTGGAGATGGGGGGGAGTACATAAAAGTTGAATAATAAGCATCTTGAGTTCCATTGGACTATCAGCATCCACTGCAGAATGCAGATCACCTTTGAGCAGCATAGCATGGGTATTCAATATTAGATGGCAAATGAGTCTCATAATAATATACGATGGTGCACTAGAGTGGCAAGCAAATATGGGTCATTTGATAAATGTTTATACTATATTTAGATACATATAAATTTGGATTCAAGTCAAATCTCTAGTTTGAGCACTTAAAATTTATGAATTTGACTTTACTTGTATATGTATTCGTGTAAGAATTTGAACTATATGAATTTAAAATTTAAAATTTAAAATGTGAAATTTTAAATTTAAATTCACTAATTCAAACATTACCTTAAAAGTTTACCTATTAGAGCCTCTTCATTCCTCCATCTAATAATGTATAAGAGACAATTCCTATCATGAGATTCATATGCAGAAACAAGCGATATTTGAGCATTGTGTATTTATTTTTATGGGCCCAAACCCAGATGGAACATTGTCTATTTTATGTTGTGTCAAATCAATAAAGTCATTTTTTAGTCTCCACTGCCTGATTGTAGAAATCTTTTGTACGATAATATGATACATCTTGTCATTTAACATGGCTTATTTGTAGCCTTTTATTTACCAAAAAAAAAAAATCAATAAAGTCAATGACAAGTTAACACAGTATCAGGCAAGAACAGAATTAACTAAAATAAGTCCACAATGCATGGAACTTTCTAATCTAACGAATTTAAGAGTTGACTGCCCTGAGCCTTGACGATAAGCAGCATCATCAAATCATTGATTGATCAACTACCATTTAAGGTGATTGGCAGCCATGTTCCTCTTATTAACACTCAGAACTACCACTAGTTTTAAAACGTAATATCTCATTAGAGCATCTGCCTTTAATGCTTTATCCAACAGATGAATCATATATTCATATCCAATCCCCATCTCTTAGAAACAAGAATAAAAGCAACGTTCCATTGCCGCTTGAATTTCACAGAATCACAGTAGATGACAATGCAACATTAACTGGCCAGATATCCAGCTGTCCTGCAAATTACAGCTATAGCGATTGATGTTCAGCACTTGGTGGCACGCCGACAGAGACCCACCATATTCACTTTCCACCTTTCACCCAGGGACCCACCATAAATCATGGAGACCCTTTATCAGGGACACTTTTAAATCATCTATTAATCTAAACCAACCAAAATTAAGATATAAAGATAAACAAAGAAATTGGCACAAAGCGTCCCAAGCTGGAAATCGCCGACTTCCATTTAGCGGTTGTTCGATTGATCAAAACGGTTTCAAATTGACTTAAAAAATAAAAGATACTAGCATAATGCTGATCTGTGCTTACCTGTGTGGCTTTGATAACAGCACCACTGGCTAGATAAAGAGTCATGTGGCTAGTGAGATTGAAGCTTCCAGTTAAGTACACTCCAGGAGGAATGAAAAGAAGCGTGCCACCTCGCCTCTTGAGGTGTTGAATCCGGTATATGGCCGCTCGAAATGCCTTAGTATTCAATGTCCGTCCATCACCGACACCACCAAAGTCGGTAATGGAAATCCTATCATGTCGAACCCTACGGGGCACTATATTCGAGCAGGTTATCACTTTAGCCAACACAGAAGAGTGGAACAAGTTTACAATGGCGGCAAACCAAATGAAGATTAGGAGCAAGAACCGAAGCATTTTTTAAAAATTAGATCTTACTCTCGAGTTTCAACTTCAGTATCAGTGTTTTTCAGGAACGATAATCAGAAAGAAAGAATAGCAATAAAGAGATCTGTGGAAGATAATGAGCGAAGGAGAATAAATATTCGGTTATGGGGGGGAACAACTGATGGAAATGTAAACCTTGTGCGGGTGATTTCAAGGGAAAGTGGGTATGAAAAGAAGTTTCCTAAGAGAGATGAGTAAAGATCTGGAAATTCGAAACAGATGCAAAAAGGAAGATGCGATAGTTAATTGAAACTTGGGGAAAGCACAGAGATAATGATAAGAAACGAACTCAGAGCATAAAGCGAGGGAGACTGGGGACTAAACCAGGGGGAGCCAGGCAGGGCATTAGATTCTGAGTACAACAGCCAGGAAGCAGCTATCTATTGGGACTTGCAAGCCGGAAGTGAGTAGTGAGCGTCGCAGACTAAACATAGCTTACTGAGCTTAAACAGTTAATGTTAATATTAATATTTATTCCTTCACTCTTTATAAATTATTTTTGTTACCCTTATCAATATAAATATTAAAAAAATAAAAAATGAAAATGTAAAAAATTTAAAAAATAATATCATATTATTTTGTTTCTCTTATGAAGAGTACTTTTAAAAATATATTTTGAATGTTATCAAAAAAAAATACATCATAATTTATAAATGAGATTAAATAAATCTTTTAAAATATAACTTATAAATAAAATTGGAGGGAATATACTCCAACTCTGTCCATTTTCAGGAAATAATTAATTATACAGTTAAAAAATTGATTAAATATAATAATTATATTTGAAATTTAAAAATTTAAACTAAATTATTCTTATAAATAATCAAACAAATTTATTTAATGAAAAAAAACATTAATTTTATAAGGAATAATTTGAAAAAATGTAATAAATATTTTTAAAAATTTTTAATTTTATTTACAAATAAAAACAAAAATAAATATAATAATTTCTCTTGTATTTAAAAATGGTGGAGTATTAGTTTATCAAAAAAAAAAAGGGAGCGTATTAGTGTAATCCTCCGACACTGACTCACGTCTTTGAGTTGTCAATAAATCATTGACGCCGACTTGCAAAAATCTGCATGGAAAATTTTCAAATCCATATTTATTAATTACTTTTGTCCTCTTTTTTTAGCAATTGATAAGGGAGAAATTTTTGCGATCCAAAAAAGTAGGTAAATTTTTAAAATGGTATTTAATTATTTATGATATCTATATCATAATATAATAATAGTTTTTTGGTACATAACTGAATATTTCCATGTTTTATTTAAAAACACGAAATCCTTCTTATATTTGCTTCCTTCCTTATCTCAAAATTATACATATCATCATTAAAAAACTCCTTTGTGTAAAAATATAACCTAGAGAGCTTTTCTCCAGGTTGATAACGCCTGTCCAGCCTTCGTTCATGTATACCAAGACAGTAACTCATTGCCATACTTATTTTCTTTCTGGGGGTTTTAAAATGGGGAAAAGGGATCCTCCCTTTCTTTTATCACCTTTTCTCTTCCTTTCTCAATCCCCACCATTTATCAAATTTATAATTAAAATAAATTTATTTAATAAAATAAAATGAATGGTGGAGATTGGGCCTACTATTTTATCATATTTTTAATGCATCTGGAGATTGTTAGCAGATATTCTTGCATAGTGTTAGGAGTGGCCATATTTGGTATGATGGAAGAGTTTTTAATGAAATCGAAATCGGAATCAGAATTGAAATTGGAATAGAATTGGATTTAAAAGTGTGTTTGGTATGATGATGGAATCCTGATATAATTTTAATAAAATATAAGTACTTAAAATAAGAAAAGACTAAAGTGTCCTTTTTAAAATTAAAAAAATTATATTGAAGGAGAGAGAAGGGGCAAACTGGAGAAAGGGAACCATGAAATCGGATTCTATGATGCATGTGATGGAATTAGATTCTGCCAAATTTCCTTGAATCCAAATTTCAAAGAATCATAATTATTGCATACCAAACACACATGTTAACAGATTCCATGCCTAATTTCATTTCTTTCTCTATGATTTCAAATTACCAAACAGGGCCTTAGTTAGTTGTCAACAGGGAAGCCTATGGGCCTCTTTGTTTGGGCTGTCTTATTTATTTTTTGCAATTTCTGCTGAGCTTTAAAAATCTTTTCATTCCCTATGACAAAAGAAAAAAAATGCTTCCCTTCTTGTAGAGGAAAAAAAATATTTGTTGCTAGCATTGACGAATCATTTTTGTTTTGCTAGCTAACAGTCATTATCTTGACATTCAGCAACAAATGAATGGCCTAGGGCAAAAACAAAAGGACCCAAATTTGGCCCCTAAAAAGAAAAAAAGAATCAAGGAGTTCATTGCCACGAGATATTCATTATAAGGAACAATTTTGAGCGCCAAAAGCCATGGCCCATCGTCAAAATCATATAATATTTTCAGCAAAGTTTAATGCAGACTTGGAAAAGAGTAGGGTTCGCTTGGGCGTTTGTCCCTGATACTTCGTTGAAAGTCACTAGACTAGCCTCCTATGTGCAACTAATACAAACTCTGATATGAAACTGGCTTTCCTCAGTGCTTCTTCCTTGATTGAGGAATCTTACTCGCCCATACTGCTCTGGAAGTCAAGGAAATTTACAAGACAAGACATTGATGAAGTAAAATGAAAGAAAAAGGGAGTTTGATCATAATGGTGACAGGGTTAACAGATGCTCAAAAATAATATGACTTCTTGCGTGTGATTGCTTTTCAATTTTCAAAAATAAAAATTCTAAAAGAAGCTATAAACTTCTTAAGAGATGAGTGTCATTGAAACAACGTGAAGCCTGATGTGTTAGTTCATGTGCATGCTTGATAGGTAACTGATCCATGTCTTATACTTCAACTTATTCCTTTAAGAAACTGATCAAATTCATTGTTTTCTTAATATTATCTAACTCATCAACAAAAAGTATTATACGTTGTTCCTCTCAGTCCATCTTCATTATTTGGTTACAGTAATTTGCAATGAAGCATGAAAGAACTTAATTAGCTTCAATTTTATTGTTCTTCAGTCGTTAGCTTGAACTACAAACATGAGAGCTACAGATTAATTGCTTCCGAAATATAACTAATAGGTCTATCATGCACGACTCAATGTTGGATGGTCAGGAGTACAACGTGATATAATTGGGCTCGACCTCAGGATTACTAAAAAGCTATAAGACCTATGTGTTAGCCAACTGGGCCACCACCCAATATTTCAAGCTACAAACTAAAAGGCATTAGGAGTAGATGATTGTTACTAGCACAACTCTGAAAAGCAACTTCATCTTCTCTGCTTTTGCAAGGCCTGACGAATCCATGGATCCTTTTACTTCAAAAGAGGAGGATGATTTGCTAAAAAGAAATGTCATGAAATTGGATGAAGAAATGGTGGATAAGGGGCAAAATCACTCACTCTCGCAAGATCTAAATCTGCAAAATGCAAAATGCTCAACAGATATAATATCAGCTTCCACCAACATCCAACCAATGGACATATAAGCTGACAAAGACACAAAACAAGATGCTTATGCAAATAAGGAAAACACGATAAAAGGTATTAAAGGTTTCAAAGCACCTATCTCTTATAAAGATTCTCTTATTGATTACAATGGTTGTTATGAGATTAATAAACCAAGAGAATCTAAGTTCAGAAACGACACTCTTGTTAAAGAGTTAGAAAAAGAATGGGCTCCAACTAATGCTATTGTAAAGCTAATGGAACGTTTTCCCATGGTGTCCATATCAGATCAAGAATGGAAAACAATTTGCCTTCCTTGGATGGATGCTCTGGTCATTAACACACTTGGTATTCAGCTACACCCAAGATCACTTAAACCCGGACTAGCTAAGATGTGAAAACTGTAACAACTTAAATTTTTTAAAAAAAATAATTTAACTCAACCATGGTTAAAAAGTGTCTACCATGATAAACAAAAGTCAACTTATCTTATATTTTTTTTAAAACAATTTCATAATTTAAAACACTACCATGGTAGAAAAGATTAAACCCCTTTTTAAATAATACAAAATAATTTTATATAACTAATATACATTTACAACCATAATTGGGTTACAGCCATCTAACACATTTTATATTAATAAATTCAATATAAAACATTTTATAATTGGTTTAAACTTGCACAATACAACATCTCAGATAAATTTTTACTTCCCATGTACCATTAGGCTAAAACCACATTTTCCATCCTTATACTCCCAACAAGTACAAACCATAAACCAATAACTAACAACTTAATCAATTCTCAAAATAAGTCAATTATTTGGCCTCATAATCATGTCATTTTAAACCATCCAAAATAAATTAAAGATTAAAGTTACAGTCATCCAAAGTGTATAAAAAGTAAAATAGTTTAAAGGGTATGATTACATCATTACATTCATATAATTGTCAATAAACAAAAGCCCTAAGTATTGACAATATAACATATTAAAAATCATAAATCAAATACTCAAAGGATATAGTGGACCTATGTCACTAAACCTCAGGGACTCCTCCAAGCACCACTCGTGGCTCTTCTCCTAAAAATTGTTAACTACATAATGAGACTCAAAAGTTCCAGTAACCAATGTCAATTTATGATAGTGTATACAAACAGTTAAACGTGTGCTTGCTAAGTGGGAAAATAACAGTCATATAATTCTAACAAAAATACAAAAAATATTACAATACGTAACAAACAACCATCTTTATCTCCCTCCATTAACCCCGAGCTGTAGCCCTCACTCGGTGTTAAATTACCCGATCAAAGGTAAATTAGCCCGAGCTCTTATAAGCCACCTATTGGGCTCCAATAGGGGCATACCACGTGGCACATAAATACAACAACAAAAACAAGTCTCCCAACACCTCTCATACTAATCAAATAAATTCATAACAATATTGTATAATTATACAATATTGTTATGAATTTATTTGATTAGTAATTATACAATATTACAATCTTCACAATTATTTCATTTTTAACAATATTACAATATGACATTCCATTTGGTAAAAATACTTCAAAATGCAAATCCACAATTTCATAATTTTTCCATAAATATAATAAGGTAATTTCTCAACAATAATTCATAATTTTCTCAATAATCACCTAATTAATATGAAACAACACTAAATACAAATTAAAAGCATGGTTACCTTGTGGCTTTTTCAATAAATTATTACTTACAATTTCTCTCCCACCACAATCTTCACCAACAACACAATTTACAAATAACATATTATTTATAAATATTAATTTCAATTATTGAAACTAATAAAATAACTCGAATAATAGGATTAAAGAATATAACATAATTTTTAATCTCAATCTTAATACAAACTTAGAGTTAGTGCTATTAAGTAAAATTTTTGACTCCTCTTTTAGTCATCAATAAATATT